CAAACCTTTTTAAATATTTTCGAATAAGATTTTACATGTTCATGAAATAAGGGATCGGATATATAGCTTCGTTTTTCGTAAAGTTCGTAAAGATTAGCCCTAGACTTATAAATACCAAACGTGGCCCAGTCACAAAACTTTGATTTTACACTAGTTGAAAATGTTTTTGTTTTAAATTCACTGCTAGCTTCATGTTCAATTAAATTAAAAATATGTTCACATACAATGTCCGGGTCATATTGAGGTACTATGACACTAGATATTTTATGTTCAATTTTATTTTTAAAACGTGCCAAATTCTTTTGTGTTATTTGTCTGCATGTAATTGTTTGAGTCCCTTTGGATCCCTTAGTTTCAATTATAACTTTTTGTCCGTAATGATCAGATCCAAGACAGTCGAAATTCATTTTCACCTTTACCTCACAATTACAAAAAACATTATCTATACAAGTGGCAGAATTTCCTGCGACCCTAGTGGGTTCTAAAAAAAGATTGTGCAAATTAAATGATTTAAATAAGTTAATCAATCTTAAGCTTATTGAGCATTCCGATAACAAATCAACATTAAAATCGCCACATACAAATAATGTTTTATTCCTCCGTGCGACTCGTCTCAATGCTTCCTCCATAGCCAGTTCAAAAGAATCAAAACAAGCCGACGGCGGACGATAAACGCAAATTATTATACAAGTAACTAATTCTACGCAAGATAGTTCAATTGTTTGCTCAATAGAAATATTTACAATGTCTTGACGGTTTTTATATTCTACATCATTTTTTAAAATAATAATTGACCCGCCATGAATGGCATTGTTCCTAGCAAAAAAACTAGCTATATTATAATGTTCAAAAGGACAAATTATTTCATATTGTTTAAGCCAATGTTCTGTCAGACATAACACCCGTACATTGTTAGATTCTAAGAAAAGACTTAATTCTAATTCTTTGCTGGAGAAGCCACGAATATTTTGATGAATAATGACCATATCCTGTGGCTTAACCAATGTCGTAGATGTTAGTTTAAATTAACACATGTCACATTATTAGTATAATTACTAATATTACTAATTAAACCCGTTATACTACTTATAATGGGATCATAAATGTTATACGCTAGTAAACTAGCAATAGTCTTTTTTTGTTTTTTAGGAAGATAAAAATTACCTCCCGTCATATAATAATTTGTAACAAATTTGTTACTTTCAAAATAAAATATATCATTACAATGATATGTCATCGAATAAATTAAATTATTTATACTATAAATGAACTTATTCTGTTCATTAGTCAGGGATTGAGAGTAGGGAAATGCGCATAATAATATTTTACCTATACCAAGCTCCACTATATTATATAATGATTTTATTAAATTAACTATATCAGATTTACGCATATGCAAACAATTCCCTAACGCTATTACTAGGGTCGTGTGAATATCATATTTTTCATTTACTATATTTTTTATAATCTTATATATACCTGATCCCGGAAAACAATTATTTATTACTTGTTGCGAGAGGCAGTTCGATAATAAACTACCTAAATCCTTGCCAAATTCATCTGAATAAACAATTGTTCTCCTGATGGTTTCATGTACAGTGCTGCATTTATTTACTTTTGTACTGTTTCGTGTGGGTAAACATGAAACGTCTGGCCCCGTGACGGATGAGATATCAATGTTCAACTGATTATGGTGGGACGGTTGGATATAGTTATCAGACTCTGGTGAATTACAGTGACATCTATCCGTAAGAGAAACAAACCGCTCCATGTTGTAGTTACCTAATTTTATTAAATTATCCAACTGATCAGAATATTCATGTATTTCATTCTTAGCTGATTCGTATTTCAAAGATAAATTGGACAACGAGTTCTCTAATAGTTTAATTTTTTGTGATAATTCATCTATTTCTAAATCTTTGTTATATATTTTTTCTTTACAATTATTTAATTCTATTGATAAGTCAATTTTTTGCTTCCTAGTAATAATTGATTTTAAACACTTTTTATGACTTTTCACTAAATTTTCTGATTTTCGAATAAATTTATTTAATTTTACATATTTTTTTAACTTCTTACTACTATTAATAGGTACTTTATTAGGACTATAGGAGCTTGGTGTATTTGTCAAATCTATGGTCACAAGGGGCAGAGCAGATGATTGATCACTAGTAGTATTTAACATTTCTGTATACAGATCCATGGTCTCGTTATAACTACTCAACCGCCTGTGATCCAACAAAGATTTATTTTGTGATTGAACTTCCTCAAGGTGCCGCTCTAGATGAGTGATTTTCTGCAATGCTGACTCATATGTGTCTCTGCACAGATCATATTTATTTACAATTTCTTGAAGTTTTTCTTTTTCGCTATGTAGAACTTCAAAGTCTGTACTGATCTTCACTAGGTCATTCTTCAGAGCCACATATTTATCAGACATCAACTTAATTTCAATCTCACTTTCATCTCGTTCCTGTAATAAGGCCTTATTTAATTCATTGGATTTTTTTAACTCTAAGAGTGTCACCTTGAGCTTAGCATCAAGATCACATGCTCTGCGGGACATCATTTTTAATTATTATGTTAAATATCTACGAAACAAGACAACAATGAATATTATTCAATAGAAGAAATACAGTGTTGAAAGTGCGCTATTTCCCTTCAATAAAATAATACAATAAATAATTCAATAATAAATAAATAAATAAATATTGTTAGTAAAAACTTTAAATACCAATACAGTTACAAAAAAAAAAATATAATTAATCTTATATATTACCACTACAGTAAATATGTCTTAATTTGTCATATGATATCTAGCAATGGCTATGGATTACTAATATTGTATTGTTATTTAATAAAATACATAAGTTTAGTTTCGCACAGCTATTTGGAATATATTATCAATATGATAATAAATAAATTTATGAGCTGTAATTATTGCAATAATATTTTATGTTAGTGGGTAGTTTTTTTTTTTTTTTTTTTTTTTTCCTCCCAACAACAACAACCGATCTTCACTATAGAATATTTGACTTTAATATTATTGTTTATTTGTAAATGGATATAGTAATAGTGAAGTGTAATAACTGTATTTAATTATTAAAGGAGTCAATAGAAATCCAAGACTTCTATTGTAAATTACCAATACTTTGACAGTTGGCGGTCCCACAAATTTTGTAACGTAGATTTTTGTCACAAAGAAATCACAGATTTGCACACCAACAACAATCGACGTTACTTATGACCAAAACTCACTGATTATATACACTAGTATCGTTATTTCACAAGTAATAAATTAAAAACAATAAATAAATAAGAGCCAACTGACAAAGACTGTTATCGGCAGTGTTGCCAGAGAGAAAAAAAAATTAATTTCAGATCTTTACAAACGCGACATAAAGTTCAATTAAATTACCAGTCCTATGTAATGCTATTTAATTTAACTTTTCACTGCACCTAATACATAAAAATAGACGAAGACAATATTTTTTTTATACTGCCAAATATCTATATTACATTAAATCGGGCAACAGGCAGGCTAATTTAATAATGACACAGATTTGATAACTAAAAATATTTTGATTAATTTAACCGCATAATTTGGATAATTGTAATGTTAAAATATCCAGTTTACTAATAAAGATCAGAAAGTATAGTCCTGTTACATTAAGTTTATATATTAATTTATAATTTTTTAGCGCATTATGTGTATTATAGTGATTTAGCGAATCCTCTATTATTCGTATAGACTCAATTCTACAATCTGAGAAATAGCTCCAAATTTTAACATTGCCTCTCCCATATTTTACTTTCTTTTTTGTAAACTTCGGATTTAATTATTGATTTGCAGGACGTCACACGTACAATTTACCGCCACAAACCGTTCTATTTATTTTCATTTTATCGGAAATGAATACATTTCCTTATTTATTTTCCAAACATCTGTCATATTTCCTTGTAAAACTCTTCGTCTAGCTTGTCGGTGCTGCTTATTGACAAATAATAATAATAATATAATAATATATTTATTGACAAATAGTATATTACGAGTAATTTTTACTAATAATTTTGCTTTCAGCAAACGTCTACGAACGCTATTAAAAAATACTCTATGTTTGTAGCCAAATGCTTACTTCTTTGCTTAGTAAATTCATAATCTTTATATGGATTGACATTTGCTGTCCAAACAATCCTCTCGAGTTTACTAGTATAGTATTATATTATCTGTGCTACTGTAAATAAACTATAAGGATACTTTTACGTGTTCTGGCTTTCCTAAATATACCATTGGTACTTACATTGGTCGTACCAAATATTTTAAAATGCTTAAGTATATTGAATATTTTAATTTTTAAGCTATTTAAATGCCCCAACTCTTTTTTATATGGCCAATAACTATTATTAATCAAAGGTGCTATTATTTTTTGGTTGAAGTATTACAGCTTCGTTTTTTCCTTATTTTTTGAAATAAAAGCAATATAAATCAATTGCTACAAGTGAAATTAAAAAAAATTATGATGTGAAATTAGATAACAATATTTTATGTTTCTTTTACTTGTAGTGAATAAAAAGGAAATAAAAGTTTTAAATTTTTTACACAGCTAATTAGCTTATTTCAAAAGAGATTTTATTCTTAATATAATATCAATTCACAAAACTTAGTCTTTTTTTATAAATCATATTATTTTAAATAAAAAAATATGTAATTAAATAACTAAATGGTTAAAATTATCTATTATTATTAATGAAAAACTTAAGTCATTTTCTAGGTATACCATAGAGCACTAGTCGTTTTTAATTATTTGAATACGACAGTATATCATTAGATACTTCATTCTTTTTTTTTAGTAATAAGCAATATTACTTATAGTCTACATTTCTAGATACTTTTATCTAATTCAATCAATAAAATAAAAATATAACTGTTTTACAAAAATATTTATTAACATCTTTCTCTGCGTACCGTACCACCATAGCGATATTTCATCATTTTATTGCACTATAGGTACACAGATCGATAATGTATGTGATGTGGAGAATTTTATGATTCAATACGTGACGTCTTTCGGCGACTCGCAAACATATAGTGAACATTATAGATAAGAAATGATTAATGAAAATAATTCTTTCTCTCTTCGTCTTTTGTGTGAGTATTGGAATCATATTATTTTCTTTATTAATTATAGACATTATTCTATACTTATAACACTATAAATTGTTTACAGACATGGGGCACTCGTTTTTTTAGAAGTGTTTCAGTTATGGGTATATAAAGTAAAAGTATAGGTCCCTTAAATTTGGTAACGACTTGGAATTCATAATTAGCATGTACCTACTTATGCTCTACAGAGAAAGTTTGTAAAGAAGTTTCGAAGTTTGTTACTCTTGCACTTAAACGCTTCAATGGTATTATGAGTACCCAATTTTCTTTTGTTTAATTCTAATTTACGATGAAATACACCTGTGTTAAGATTAATAATAGCCTATCTGTTAATCCAAGGCATGATAAATTTGTACATCTAATTTCATTAAAGTAGAAACGTTATTTAAAATAAGGTTTCTACTTAATTGTTTAATTGTAATATTCAGAATATTCACATACGTTCATATTCATATATTTATATTCATACACTTCAGTATATATATATATATATATATATATATATATATATATATATATATATATATATATATATATATATATATATATATATATATATATATATCCATTGGAAAAAATTGACCAAAATAAAAAATAAACTCTAAAAAATGCAAATAATAACATTAATAATTAACTTTTTGTCCACTACGTTTAAAATTAAATGTTTCTACCTCAAGATATCGCAAAACAATATAAAAATATTATCACATTATAAATCTTATTGTTTTGGAAGATGGTTCTAAATAATAGACTACCATGGGGCTCATGGTTAATATTCTGCGATTTAATGAACGTTTTCCTTTTGCCATTTCCTCTTGTGGAGTTATGTGTATACAAACACAATAAAATGAATATATTTTCATCATATAATTTCCTGCTGGAAAAAACTCCGTTTATTTTTGTTGCTCTCTTTATCACCGTTAAATCGTGAGCGGCATACGTGGTCAAATTTAAGCGTCGCGCCGTGATGAGCTCATTTTTATTCAAGTACAAATCATCCTAGATCTAAAATCCGTTTTCTTTTATTCTGTCACTACATTGTCTTTTATACTATATACTTAATACGAGTATGCTAGTACATTAATGTAGTCGTTTATCTATCACAAGATATTCTATTCAGCAAAGTGTATAAAACGTAAAAATAACTGTATAAATAAGCATAGCCACTCAACGTAAATGCTTTATATTTTTTAACGTACATATTTAATTGTAATATAAATCAAATTGAAATAAATAAATCATAATCTGAACACTCATGCAAATATGTTGTGTTTATATATTTTACATAACCAAAAAACGAATAAAGTATGTAAATCTATGTAAAAGTTGAAAACTATGAATAGCGGGTTAGGCCGATCAATAAAATTAGCTATGTTCTGTGGCTTTGCTTTGTTGTGATTAAAAGATAAAAAAAAAAATAAAGATAAAGGTGACAAAAGTGTCCTATAATTATTCTAGGATATGATCTGTGTATCAATTTTCATTAAAATCTAATTAGCGGTTTAAACATGATTGAGTAACAGCCATCCAATTGTTGTATTTATAATATTGGTAAAATTATTTGTTACCTGTCTAATCCCCATCCAACTGCAAAAGCCATTATGCTTTCTTGTTTTGTTGTGTATTGATGTGAGATCAAAGCTAGCGGTGACCATTGAGGGCACGAAGAAGACATAGCATTAATTACTTTGATGATTCCTAAAGCAGAAAATGAAAGTTAAATTGAAAAGTATTGTTAGTGAATTAAAAAAAAAAATTAAAAAGTATTGTTAATGAAAATTAAGTACTGTAGTTATTGACAGGTAGTCAGAAGCACCTGTCGACTATTACTCTTGTGCTGAATGTAATATTCAACATGCCCATATTTCAACAAGCGTATTTTGAATCAAATGTTGTGGAGGGCGAGCCCTCTCTCTTCATTCTAATTACATTGTTTTATTAACAGTTTTTTCATCACAGGATAGTTAGTGAGACTAGATTAGTGGGTAATTTATATTGACACAAAGTAGACTGTCAGCTAGATTAAAACACATAATATTTGCAAAAACTGTACGTCGGGATGGTATGCCACTACGCAATGATACGCAATGAAATTAATTTAAACATTAAACTATTTATTTAATATGTAGGCACTTGTACTTTTTTGTGCTATTTTTTTTGATGGGTGAAAATGGTATGGTAATCCCGCCTGCGCTAACGGGATACGCTGGCGGAGCACCAGTAAAAGATGTTAGATGAGAATGAAAACAGGCCAGTTAGTCCATCATGATGAATTCATCAGGAATCAACCATGATAGTTTCCAGGGAGAACCGCAAGGAGGTCGACCTGGTTGGGTATATTGATTTTTGTACTATTGTATGCCCAAAGATATAACTAATATAATTTATAACATAACAGATGTATTTTTATAATTTAATTTTAATTTAGTTATTACTCATCGGTGTATTTTTTTACTTATACTGTACCTATAGTATATTTTAAATTATACTAGCTAATTATTATTTATATTTTTTTTCATACAAAATAGTTAAAAGTTTTTAGGTAGTAACTTTTATACAAATAGAAATACGTTTGAACTTTTTTCGAAAACCTTCTTAGTTTGAAAATAATTTACAGTGAATCCTTACTATATGAATATCCTTATACCTTAACAGAATACGAGTATGAATAAAATAAGGTATTTGAATATTATTTTTTGATATTTGACACAGTAAAGTAATGGAACGACGGACGGCATTTGACTTCAAAGATTTCTTTTCACCAATGAAGGGGAAACAGTTATATTAAGGAAAGTGATTTTTTTTTGTTACAATATTGCCTGCTATACACAGAGAATTCGTATATATTATGACAATATAAAAGCCAAACAGTTACGTAAATGTCATACAAACTACATATAAATCTACAACTATTTTAAATAAAAATATCCATGAAATATAGAATATATACGACTGCGTGAGTAAATGTACTTATGTCAGGACTCAGATGTTATTCCTCTATACCCTGTAAATTCACGCCGTATCCCACCCTTCAAACCCAAACATAGCTATGCAAACACAACTGCTTTACAGTAGAAACACAAATGGGACAGAGGTACCCAAGCAATCGACTTTTGTACAAAGTCTCCCTCTGGTACTACTATAAAAATTTTTCGCAATGTGTTTTATAAAATTTTCTATGGTTAAAATATTCATTGGTTAGTTACAACTTCATTATGGGTAATATTATAATTTCCGATTTTACTAATATTATTTTTAAATATATTAATTTTAATAATATAAATACCAATATTGTAATTGTAGCGTCTCTGCTCGTCGAAGGGACTATAACGCGGATGTACTAGGCTGTATTTGACATAAGCTATGCGTTCAGGTTGCCTCCAGTTGCTCCCACAATATGTAACAAAAGCTGAACGCGTCGCTGTGGCTGGATTTTTGTGATAATGCCCAGACAAACAGGACGCAGCTGCCACAAGCCAATGTGAACTTATGGCTGCAGCATCACAATGTATCTGTTTATAACGCAATATTATTTTTATAATGATTCTTAAACTCGTTATTTCCCGCAGCTTTGTTTGCGAGAATCAGTATTGTTCTATGTGTTCATTTTATTCAAATCTATCCAGCCATTTAATTGTGATAGAGTAATAAATATACAAACATTTTTACAAACTTTTAGATTTATAATACTAATAGAAAGTAATTATTAGATTGCTGTCAATGTAATATTCACGATACTGTTTACAGACAACGGCTACTATTTTCCGTCACATCAATGATCAGCTTGTTTGTCATTTTAAGAATCATAAAAAAAAATTATAAGTTACTATTAGGGTTCCCCTATGTTATTATTAAAGTACAACATACAATATAGGTTTACCAAGGTACCTGACCATCGTAACTAAACCTATGTTTTGTGTCTAGCCGTTGGCCTATATTGTGCTGTTAGGCTTATAAAATAAGAATAGATAAAATACGGCAGTTTATACTTGCTTCTATGGCCTACTGTGTCTTTGGAAATAATATTTAATTCAGATATGTATATAGTATCAGTGGTAGTTACATATATTGAAATTGATATGGTATATTTTAATTTGTACATGTCGTACTTCGATATAAAATTGATATGCTAAATAAATCTTATGTATGTACATTACAATAAACATTCGATAAGTTTTTACCGCAAAATTTAAATATTATGCAAGCCATGTCAGGGGAAATAGTTTTGTTTGAAATTTAATTATAATAGTAAGGGTATTGTAAACTTACTTGTGATGGTTCATAAACATATACAGCTGCGAACGGATAGTCAGACCATAAAGCCCGTCTACTCAAATTATAGAATACATTTGCATGAGATTTCGCTATTTCACTTTTATTGTATAATTTATATCCATTATTTTGTAATAGAGTAGATAGTTTCGATAATTCAGTTTTTCTCCATTTCAAAGTTGTATTAAACCTAGTAAGTTTTGACAAGGTTTCAAAATTGCGACTAGTAGTATATTCTATGTTGCACGTTGGGTTATTTGTTTTGTACTGAATTATATTTTCTCTATTATGTCTTTTATTAAATTTGTTGACATGAGAACCATTGTGATGACCGATTCCTTTATTAACGTGTTCAAGAAATATTGTTTTATTGCTATTTAGATTATTCTCTTCCTTTACATTATCTATTTGATTTATTTCATTATAATCATATACTGTTTTCGCATTCTCGTTGTTACGAGTGTTTCGATCGTATATTTCAAAAAACTTGATTTTATCATATACTGTGGTCAATAACTTATGTGGTACAATAGTTAAAGTATTTTCTTTTATTTGCGAAATTGAAGTCTTGTTGTTTATCGAAAGCATTTGTGTTGTATGAGGACAGGTAACAAATACATCTGAGTGCTGATTTCTTATTTGTTTCTCTTTACTTTTATGTGTTTTTTTAGTATTGTCATTTAGTGAAACTTTTTTCTTCAAACGATTGATGTGAACGAATGGTAAATTATATATACTTGGCTTTTCAAACATTATTGTATTGGTGTATGGAATAGTAGTAGTCATTGTTTTTAATTTAGGATCGATGAAATGAAACGCAAACAAAGGTGTAGATTTTCTTTGATCTCGAGACTCCTTAAAATGATTAACTATTTTCTGCTGATCTTTAAAACTTTCATTATTATTATCTTCTAAATAATAAAATTCAATATAACTCGCTGTAGTTGTCTGTAGTTTCGGAAGCATAAGAGGTGAAGAAAATGGGTTCCTTTTTGTTATATTGAAGCCGTTTCTCTTAGATAAATTATTTTTAGTGATTGTATTCGTAGCTGTAGTAGAGTTTACATCAATAAATATTTTTGTTTTTCTCCACAACATATTAATAATTTCGTATTGCTTTCTACTCACTCTGCCAACTTGCCATTTTTTATTTATATTTTCCTTTAGAGTTGCTTCCGTAGGGAGTCTGAATTTAATTGTACTATGAAATGAATCACTATTATGAGATTTGTTATTATTACTTTCGAATAATTTAGGAATAGGTGCTAAGATATTTCTTATTTCTCTAGATCTTTTGTGTCGATAGCTATTATAAATTGAGTTTACAGATGATTGTATAGTTAATAAAGAAAATAATGTAACCTTAAATATTATAGGTGTCATATTTCCAGGTATAAATTTTAAAATTTTAAACCTGATTAATTCTTGTTGTACATAAAACTGTAATTTTATATTATGCTTATAATAATAAACTGTTCTAATGTAAAAAAAAAAAATCTAGCAATTACTTACCAACAACATATTTAATGACAAATTAATTTAAAAAACATGACAGAAACCGCAACTACTATCCTTAATCTATGTGTAAATATAATACATTTGAATCATAGAGTATTAAGTACATTTTAGTATGTGTTTTTATTATTATTTGCATTTTTTAGAATTTATTTTTTATTTTGGTAATTTTTTTCCAATGGATATACATATATACATAATTAGTACTTTGTAAACTCTACTACAGTACAGTGAAGAGGTGCTTACATAATTATGCGAGCAGCGTAATGACCGCACAGAATAACATTGCTTTTGTACATTTTACCCACAAAATATAAAAATTGCTTTTTTTTTGTTTTGTGTTTTAAGCTACACTTTCTGAATATTATAACTTTGTAAGATTTATGAATGGAAATTAACATTACTTTTTAGAATAGAATTTTTTTAATTTAAGAGTTAGAATTCCAGAATTACTTAAAATTTTTGTTTAATTATAGTGTTTTCAGAGGACAGCAAACACCATACTAAATCTAAATATTATCTAGTAAAGTTAATCGAAAAAGTTTCTCCCATAAATTACTACCTTAGTATTTGTTTCATAATTATGACCATAGAAGCTGACGTAATGTATCACAGCGCCGTATATTAAACTTTTTTTTATTCTCTGCTTAAAACAATTTAAGGCGTTTTCAAACCATATTGTTATAACAATTATGTATTACAGTATTTTATTATTATTACCTGTATAAAATAGAAAATGGATAAATTCAATAATTAATATTTGTATGCCATTTGATGTGGCGAAACATAATGGACATCTTATAAACTTCACAAATGCAACACCTTTTCTACAATGTTTCTAGCAAATAAATTTCATTTAATTTCATTTCATTTCATTTCATTTCATTTCATTTCATTTCATTTCATTTCATTTAATTTCATTTCATTTCATTTCATTTCATTTCATTTCAATTTCATTTCATTTCATTACTTTGTTATTAAGTATGTATTATATTTAATCCTATAGAAATTTATATATGTTATAAAAATATTCTTAAAATTTATTTAGGTATTTCCCATATAACCTTACTAATCTTTATCTATGTAATATGTAAAGTTATTATCCTTAATCTATGCAGGTACTGATACGGATTACTGATGTTATTCATAATTAGCTCCGATAAAATCTAAGAACAAGGAATGATAAATTATAATTGCAACATACCTACTTGATATTTAGTAACCAAAAAAGGATTTGCATAACAATTATATTCTTTATTTAAAAATTCCCTATCATTTTAGTTAAAAACATGTATTAATTGTCATTATTGTAAATTATTAAGTAATTTTAAATTTATAAATTGAAGAAGTGCATGTAAGGTTGTTATAATTATGAAATTATTATTACTAAGGGAGAATTGTATAGAATTCGTATACATAGTAATCTCTGTGCTATTTGTATATCGTGTATTGGGTACGGAGGCATAACACCTTAGTCCTCAGGAATGGTAACGAAGTGTACCATGCATTAAAGTGTATTCTGTAGTGACTTTGGTCTTTTTTTAAGTGTTGTTCAAAAATTAATCTTTTAACTACAGAAACAAATTATGTGACTAGAAGTAATAATTCTTACCAATTTTTATCAGGTGCTTGTTTGATCTTCGCAGTCAAATCAATATAATATTATACACATATATCATTCTACTTATATACAAGTATTCTAATTCTATATACATATATAATTACTTCACTCGTAATTTTTTAAACAAAAAAAGAATCGTTATGTAAATAATCGTAAAATAAGTCGAATGGTACGTCATGGTATTATATCTTAAATACAAAAGTCTATAGTTAAAAATATTATTTACGCGTGTAATCTAAAACAAGGTAACTTTTGTTGGTAACCCTTTCTTAAAATAATATGAATATTATTATAAAATTACAATAATCTTTACTGTCTATATACTTTACACTATACTACATATTAAGTAATAAGAAAGGATGTTTTTTAAACCTTTTATATCCTTAGTGTTTAAAAATACGGTTGAAAATTTGTATGAGAAAGATTTCTGTAAATGATTTACATGAAATTAATGATATATATCTTATTAAAAATAAAAAACTTAATTTTAGTATTTCTCAATATTCGCCAAAAACCAATCATGTCAAATATAATATACGTTGAATAAAAAATAAAAATAATAAATTAATAATTATAAAATCAGGGCAAAATATTTATTCAATTAAATTCTTTAATAAAATAAAGGTTTGATCGAAGTTCCTGGTGCAAATAAGAGGATAAAAATTATGGTGGGATATAAATTTTTAAAGCTGATTATAGAAAATCGATTATATCAGTCTAAAGAAGGTGTAATTATATACTCAATATGTATACAATTTTTTATTCTCATAATAAAAATTAAATTTGGTCTAGAGATAGATAAGCCTTATCTTAATAAAAAGTAGGATACTTTATAAAAAATAAAATAAAAAAGTTTATTAGGGAGCTCTAACTGTATATACTATTTAACGCCAGCAAAGCCGCGGTTACAACTAGAAATTTATAGATATGAAAAAGAGATTCGGTTATTTTGATTGTTGATCTCTTGAAAATTTAACGATTTGGTTAATCGTAATAAAGTTTGATATTAATATATGTATAGGATGTAAGTAAGTTTAAAACGCGCAGATGACATCCCTAGTGTTGCGAGTGTCCATAGGCTACAGAGTTTATCATCAGATGGACTGTATGCTTGTTTGCCAAAAAATTTTTGTATAAAAAAATATGTATTATATGAAAACAACATAAGCTACATTTTATTTCGACTAAACATACCCCGGTTATGCGGACGAACTCTCGGATATACACTAGTAGAGTTATAAATGTTCATACTCAGATAGTATACTCAGTAATTTTTGAGTTACTCTAAATAACTCAGATAAAATAATGCATATATTGTCATTAATTTTTAATATAAAATCGTAAATTAATACTGTAAAATTAGGAGATTTTGAATTATGTACACGCTGTTATCAAATAAGCGTGACCGTAATTTTCTCTTTTTTATTATTATTCATCTAGTATTAAAGTATTATTATTACCGTTGGTTAAGGATAACACGTGGCATTCTGTTTCTACGATTATTACCTATTCACAGCACTAATGGAAGAGAAGAAAGATTCCGGTTTTGTATTAAGTTTATAAATAACTTATCACTTGTGAGTTTAAAACAAAAGTAAATAGGAAAGTTTGATAGAAACTTTGGAATTAATATACTTACTGTTTTAATGTAAATAAATAAATAAATATTTATACATCATTTTATCCGAATGTTTTAGCTATCTAGGCATCACAATGAATACTACTCCTGTTGCTTTGAACAAAGCTGCTATGCGAAAATATGAAGATTTGGAAGTACCATGTGAAGCGGTGTTGGCTAGCTACGTCTGGGTAGATGGAAGCGGCATTAATTTACGCTCAAAAGATCGTACATTTGATTTTGTGCCAAAATCTCATATAGGTAAATATCAATTTAAAAATTATTTATGGAACAAAAATAATATTAAATATTTTCCAATCAAATTTACCAAATATTGGGTGTTTCCACATTTTCCCAATTCATATACATATGTCTTTCACAGTAATACAAGTAATAAGTTATATAACAAAACATAACAAAAAAATAAAAAATAAGTACATTTTGCTATGCAAATTAAATAATTTAAGATTTTATAGCTATATTTATTAATGGTATACTTTACCCTACTAAGATATTCCACACAAGTTGCTCTAACCTTAATGTATCAATTAAGACGATTATAACATTATCTGGTACCTACTCACATAAAGTAAATCAACGTTCATCATAAAATTATATATTCTGACCATCTAATGCATGCTTTATAGGTATGGGTATAGTTGTTAACTTGAATGCTTATTAAATTTTAATATTATCCGAAAATACTAAGGTTAAGGCCCTTATTACACTGGTGGGTGGCTAATTAGGAGACCTGTACGGAAACTTTTTGAACTTTGACCGAAACTTCGAGTTTGTAATTTAGTAATAGAACCTCTAACTCCGTTGAACGAGTATTTTCTGCCACATACTAGTAGTACCCCCGTATTTGTCTACATAACCATTCATGGCGATTGGCTCAGCAAAAGTAGGTACGTCACAAAGCTACAAACATTAGAATTTAATAATTTTTTTTTATAATCATCTTATACCTGAACGTTGGCGATATATATTCGGATACCCATCAGAGTATAGATATAAATATGGATCGAATAACTTTTTTTGTATTATTATATCAGCCGTTAAGTGTCCACTTCTTGACATAAGCCTCCCCCGTAAAAAGGTTTTGCCAATAGTTGCCACGCTTGATAGGCAGGATGGTAACCGCAATCAGGCTTCATTTTATAAAATAATTTAAAATAATTAAATTCCCTTAATCGTTCTTACGACACTAACAGGACAGGATGGGGTGGCTTATTTTATGCCGACACTACACGGTAATTAAATAATGACATGCAACAATTTTTTTAATAGACTAATGAATGCATGTAATTATTTTAAAATTCATATAACGCGTAACGAATTTTAAACTAACCCACACATGTTCACCTAATATTGGGAAAGCATACGAGTATCTACAGGTTTATGTTCGTACCATAACTACCTATACATGAAACGACTTTGTTATAATCATAAAATAGTTCGACTACTGATCACAGAGATGTTTAATGGCTATTGATTAATAGGTATTTGTGTTCGCTCATTTCAGATCTACCCATTTGGTACTTTGATGGTAGCAACACATCTCAGGCGAATCCAGATAATTCAGACACGTTTATTTTCCCTCAAGTGATTTATCACGATCCATTCCGACGTGGAAACCATATTCTAGTCTTGGCGGATACCTACCAATACAACTATCAACCTACTTGTAAGTATTAAATGTTTGCAAGTGTTTAGTTAGAACTTCAAGATTTCTACATATTAGTGAAATCATTTGAATATACAGATTTTTCTTAGTGAAGCAAATAGGTAATCTATCTGTTCTTCTTTAACCAAAGGTTATCTGTAAGAGATTGCCCTAGCGATAAGACCGCTTTACGTACCTTTATGTGTATATTTCAGTCTGTATTTATGTTACTGTATTTCACTTGAATTATTCACTTGGCATTGTATATTTTTGTTAATGGTGCAATAAAGTGCTAAATAATAATTATTATTATTATATAGTAGTTTTGATACTTACCTAAGTAAGTAAACATCGGCCACTAACACGCATTAGTTCTTTCGTGAAAATAGCTATGCGTCCCTTGATGTTTTAGTCTGTAAGCTGTAATAGTACAATCTAGCCCTTATAAAGTACACATGAGGGAAATCGTAGGTAGAGCAGTATATATTTTGAAATGCTTGTGAAGAGCTTTTCGTGATCGTAGGCGACGGTTGCTATTTTACATTGTGAAAATAATTATTAGTAATCATTCGCCGTTTAGAATCGGCTACTTCTTCCTGTTTCGTGGGTGTCATAAAAGGTGACTAAGGGAGCTTAATGGTCGAGGAACGGATAGTACCGTCTCTCTTGAAACATCACTATCACCAATCATAAATAAAAATGAGTATCTCTCTTTTAGAGATAAATATCTTGCTTGCCAATTGTCATTGCTTATTTCATCCACTTTCACAGCTCGTCTCATGCTTAATAATCAATATTAATATTAAAATTTATTACAAAATTACATCGTTTTATACGTCTATCTATTTATATGTTTATATACTTGTTTGTCGTACTGTTTTAAATTACAATTAATAGATAGTTTGGAGTCCAAAAACAGTAATATGTCTGTGACGTTATACAATTATTCATATATCTTATATTATATTTATAAATATACCACGATATTTACCTAGTATTATTTTTAAAGAAATTATTGTATAGATGTTTGATTATTTCCGTTTAAATAGTTGGACAGATTTTGATCTAATTTGATAAATGGATAAATTATATGCTAAATGAACATATTAGATACTGGTATTATAATTCACTCAGTTAAAGCCATGAGCTAGTAACATAATATAAGATACAGCGAAGTAAAATATAATAAACCGTCTTGTCTGTTACTCTGTCTAATGAAATAAGTTTTTCATGTGGGTAGATATTATTAGCAAGTGAGTATTAATGCACTCTTACGTTGTGGAGTGATGCTATTGTGTAAATTACTTAAGTTCAGAACTAGAATAAGTTATAGATAATAAGTATTGTGCTATTTTACTTTACAAATTTTACTCTTAATGTATTTAATTAACTTTATAGTGGTTTTTGTTTATTTGCCATTTATTTTTGCACGTACCCTTATTAATATTATAAATGTAAGAGATCGTTTGTTTGGTTATTTATTTATTACGTCTTAGTACTTCAATGGTTAACCAACTGTTATGAAATTTGTAATACAGGTGCTATATGAGACGGAGGAGGACATAGTCAACTTCTTATTTCTGTCAATGAAATTAAATATGTCCCGGTCACAAGGACAAAGTTGCGGGTGAAAGCTATAAGAATATAACTAAAACTAGGTTTTGTAACATTTTTTTTTATATTACAAACTGATCTTCTTTCGTGATTTCGTCCATGAAACCGGGTTATATTTATTAATTGAGATAAGTAAGTAATGGCCTATGGTACATACTACTCCATCCGATTGATTTAACTTTTAAGGCCCCAAGGGGTAACAAACAAACAAACTTCTACATTTATAACATTAGGAAGTATATATTATGTATTTTACAACTTAATTACAATCTTTGTTACAAACATCACAAGAACACCCAACTCAATTAATAGCCGACGTTGAATGACGCGCTGCGGGTTGGCCGTTTTCCGTTTTATTACAAAAAGGTCTATCGAAGCCACCAATATACACAATATATGTATAAATCCATGTATGTATATATATATATGTATATGTATATATATATATATATATATATATGTATGTGTATATATATATATATATATATATATACACACACTGACTACTGACACAAATTTTTATTTAAACTACAAAACTGATTTTAATAAAACAAAATTTCTATGAAACCAATATGAAAGTATATCCTTTCAGATAAAAAAAAAACAAATAAGTTTATAAATAACGAAGTTATGAGGTAACAAAAATAAAGAAAAAATACAACCTAATTGAGAACCTTTTCTTTTTTTAAGTCGATTGAAAATACAGAATATGAAAATTAAATAATTCATTTATCTAATATTAATGTAATATCATTATAATAATTACTTTAATATCGTACTATATTTAAACAGGTAATCTGGGATTATGACAATGCAATTCTAATACTAACCAAGGTCAGTCCAGAGAAATATTTAGGTCTTCTTTTGGATAATCGTCCAACATGGTAATCATATCTTAATAATATACGATCAAAACTGTTTGTTCTCATTAATGCATTGCACTTCAATGAGAGGTATTTCTCGTTGGTTTCATAAATCTGTTCATTATATCATATACAAATCTACGGTAAAATTGTATTTCAACTACTTAATTGCAGTGTGGAGTGCCTCTGCCAAAATACACTTAAAGGGCTTATAAATATTAACAGAATAAAATTATTAAACTGCTTTTTCACTAAGATTATTTAATTCTCAAATCAATGACCATATCCCAAATATATAAATATAATACTTGTATTACTTAATTAGTAATACGATAAATATAAAAAAAATATATTCATTAAAAACAACATTTACAAAACTTGGACAAGTTCATAAAAGTATATTACAAGACAAAAAATAACATCTACTTAAAACTATGTAGAACAAACTATGGTAAAAGAAGCATAATATAATGAGAGCGCACAGCTATATAACAAATTACTCAAGGAAATTCAGTCTTCTGCTCTGTATAAAAACACATTGAGATGCCTTCTTGAAGAACTTAGCAACCCACCCCGGCTTCGCACGGGTTCTTTACAGAAAACATAAAATAGCCTATATTACTCCAAGGAGCTTTCGGTAAAATTGGTTGAGTAGTTTTTGAGTTAAATCATAACTTTAATAACCGTGTAATTTTAGACACAGTAAATTTAAAGAAATACATATAATGTTAACAGAGATTTAAAAGAGTACTGTTGAGTTTCTTGCGGGCTCTTCTCAACAGATAACTTTCCGAATCCTGCAGTAGATTAAAAAAAAATACGATTTAAAAGTGCTTGTAAACAAGTCGATATGAATAAAGATGATTTAAATTTGAACAAATAAAAAATGAATAATATTTTCACGTTATACATAATATTAATTTACATTGATACACTACCTGAACTTTCGGATCCCTCGGCTCGGCGGGGTGCCGGCGCAGCGTGATCGAATCACAGCGATACGAAATTAATTTCATTGCGCATTATTTTGATTTTGCTATCTCTATATTCTATATATGGTATTCATTTAATTTGCATGGCGTAAAGGGGAAAATTATTCTTCATGAAATGTTCAAGCCAGTTAATGTATTTAAAATGATAAGGATTAATACTGTATTTATGTAAATAGCTTTCCAATTCCCGCTGTATAATTGCCCATTTTTTAAAGTATTAAAATGGATATAATATATTATTCCTAAGAGATAGACTTTTCATCCCGGATTTTTTTGTAGACCTTCTTAAGATCTACAAAAAAGTTAGCGTTCGCAATTTAAGTGCAAAAAATGTGTTTATATACATCATCACATTAGAAACCTTTAAAATTATCAGTATTTCTTTACTATATTATGCATGTATTAAACATATAAACCTTCGTCTTGGATCACTCTATGTATTAAATAAAACCGCATCAAAATCCGTTGCGTAGTTTTAAAGAGCTAAGCATACATAGGTAGTGACAGCGAGAAGCGACTTTATGCTATGTAATAATAGTGATATGTATTTAAAAAAAAAGAACAGTTTCGTACCTCCAGTCAAACTGTTTATAATTACTCTCCTCTATCCAAAGGTTGCCTGGAAGAAATCGCGATAAGGCCACCCATTGTATTATCAGTGTAATCTCTTCAGTGTAAACACGGTGTAATAAATTTCTTGTGTTTGTATTTAAATAAATTTACTATTGTAATCTTTCAGAGGAAACAATAAAGTATATCTATCTATCTAATAATATAATTCCAAAAGTAAGGATAGTTTTAATTAAAATTTTAAGATATTTGACTACAATTTTAAGATTTATTTTAATAAAGCTATGTTACGACACGAGCAATGTTTGTTTATTCCAATATTGAGAGATTATAAGAAATTTCTTATTTTATTCTTTTACAGTAATAATTTGTAAGCTGTTAATATTTAAATATATAAAATTGAATTTACTTAGGAAGACAACAAATTCAATGATATTAAGTCCAATCTTTTTGATAATAAAATAAAGAATATTACCCTCCCATCGAGCTGGTGCCTATTTAATGGATTTCTACTCAGTCTCGCTTTAAATTTATTTATTTATTAATTTTCAATACACCTGGATACTGTAAAAAGTGAATAAATATATATAAAAAAACAATATAGGGTATTTTCATATATAAATACATACGTACATTTGCATAAAAATGATAAATATAAAGACAATGATTTAATACAAAATAGTAATATATAACTAAGTTATTATTATACATTTATTGTGATGGTTTATTGCTATAAACACTATTTTATATGTATACCTTATACTCTATTCTTTCATTTACAGAAAATTGCATTTCTGTGCGACGGGAATAAAATAGCAATTGTTTCCTGTTTTGTGTTAAAAAAATATGCCAATACTTACCTATTTCAATTATGTTATACAAAAGGTAAAAAAATAAAGCGTGTAAAGACTAAAAATTGAATATTTCTAAATATACGAGCAGTTAAAAAACCTATTAAATGTAGACATTTATTTGTCAGATGTTGCTTGTCATAGTTCTCAATGACTAAGAATAAAATAAAAAAAAAATCGGAAACTGATCGTATTAAATCAATTGGTGCTATGCTTTAAAATATATATACAAAAGAATCTTATATATATATATATATATATATATATATATATATATATATATATATATATATATTGTAATATGTATATCTAAATATTAAGTTACTTTGATAATTATTTTACCATAACTCAAACCGCCATCAAATATCGCTGCGCATCCCAAAGGTAGGTAGCTGGTATTTTTTGTACCATATTTTATTGATGAATAAACTTAAAGTAAAAAATATTATCTAAACAAAATTATTTATCACGCGAAGTCCCTTGCAAATTCCGAAATAGGTAGAGAGGATCAAATACATATAGGTCGGTTCCGAAAACTCTTGACTTCTCATTTACTTTGGACGCAGAATAAATTTTATTCTGTCGTTGAAGCCTTGTGTGTGTTTGTTGTGTTTTATATTGTTTTATAATTTGGCTCTAAGTCTATAATAATACTATAAAAAGGAAAGATTTGATTGTTTATAATGAATAAATTCAAAGACTACTCAACCGATTTTAAAAATTCTTTTACTTATAGAGCTATATTATCAGGGAATAATATCGACCATATATTATTTACGAAAATTCCATCTACCTGTGTGACACCGAGCTGAAATAAAATGCAATTTTCATTTTGTATAATTTGACTCATGGCTCGGGCAGCAAATGTCACACCCATTAACAATTGATCATACTTTCCTCTCGATGAAAATATACTTTTTATTAGGTGCTAACTTTTAAACTTACTTTATGTTACTAATATAATAAAATTGTTAACTATGTCTATATATAGGGGATATTCAAGAAAAAAATATATGATATGTATTAATAAGAGTAAAAGAAGTTATAACAATAACTTTTAGAATTTTTGTCTGTCTGTCTGTATGTTTATTCCTGCATTGCGTAAAAACTACTGAACCAAGTTAAATGTGGTTTTCACAGTTGTATTTCTAAAGCTCTAACTTAAAGAGTAATATTGTGTTTTATTCTGATACGTCATATAAAAATGGTTACTTACTTCCAAACTCCACATGTATTAAGTTGCGAGCAAAAGTTACTATTACATAAAATAAGATTCTTCTAATGCAATTGTCCTTTAGCTACAAATTTTCGTAAGAATTGCGTCATGCTTTGTGAGAAAGCCGATGTAGAGGAGCCATGGTTCGGTTTCAATCAGGAATTCTTCTTCACCACAACCGATGGTCGACCACTCGGTTGGCCTCCCGGAGGCTTCCCTGCGCCACCAGGACCATATTACTGTGCTACGGGGGCCAATAAAATCGTTGCAAGAGACTTAATGGAGGCTTTTTACAGGTAATTAGAGGTTGTTTTAATATTATTGGGTTGTGTCCAGTGAGATTCCTCTAGTTGTTTATATCATTAATGATAAATTATTGAATTAAAGGAGCAACGCAATTTTCTTATTAGCTGGCTGAGCGACTTCAACTTCTTTACCTATCAATCTGTCAAAGTATATATAGTGATAATGGGATCACTAATAATTTTTTTTTATACTACTGTGGCAGCAAATAAGCCTACGGCCTGTCTGATATTAAACGAGGTTACCGGAGCCTATCGATGTTTGTAACAGCAGGGATATCACGTGCGCTTTGCTGATCCTTAAGAAAGCTTAATACGCCCTTTTTGAAGAACACAATCTGAGTGTTCGCGTGAGGAATCTCCTCTAACATCGCACTTTACGTGACCATTGTGGTTCTGTGTGAGGATGGATTCCCTGCCGATAGTGAACGATGCAGTGGTAAATAAAAGGTGGCTAAATGTTCCTAATAGAACGATAAAAGTTTAAGGGAAAGGAAACATATTGAATTTGAAAAGCCAACGTATGTCTGGTTAGTTAGTAGGCAATGAAATAATAAACTATATAGTTATGATGTTTATTGTTTTTCTAGCATTGTAATTAGTATTACTTTTTCAGATGTTGCCTCTACGCAGGTGTTAAATTAAATGGAATTAATCCAGGAAGTACACCTTCACAGTGGAATTTTCAGGTTTTAATACATAAATAATTAATTACTTTTTTATGCAATTTAGAATGGCAAACAAACTGATAGTTCACCTGCTGGAAAGTAGTAACCATTGCCTAAAGACATGAACGGTAGCATGGGCAAACAAAGTGTATAGTATTATACCCCTCATACGTTGTCAATGCTGAGAACTAAAGTGTTAGGGCCTATAAATTCAGTGCCATAATAAAACAAACAATTAAAACGAAAAATAATTATTATTCATTTTATTATAACTTTACAGATTATATGAATGAGTTAATTACCGTGAAAATATTTATGAATACTTGATATATCGACGCTGTTATAAGTGGTCACAAATTGACTGAATTGAGTTTACAAATAACTTTTATATATCTTGTTGATAAAATGTGTAAATATTTTCTTATATTTATTGGCCAGGTAGGACCTAGTCCAGCTATTCGATCTGGCGACGATCTTTGGATGGCTCGCTATATTTTAGCTCGTTTGGCTGAAGAGTATGGTACAGTGGCAACCTTTGAACCTCAGCCAGTACCAGATTGGCCGGGAAACGGAACTTTTGTCTATTTTTCATCGAAGGACATGAGAGAGGATGATGGTATACTGTAAGTAACATAATTTTATCTTAATATACCTATATAAATATATTATTTAAATAGATATCTGTTAATTTTAAAGTAAAATTGGCTGAGACATGAAGCCCATTCCATTTTTTGGTCTATGTACTGGGATAAAAAAAAATAACAGACTCGCTCTCATTCGTACATTACAAAAACGCAATGAAATGAATAAATTGCTATCTTAAATTTTTGTTTATTATCTTCGCATTTGTTACAGTACAATATTACAGTAGTAACCAACCATATATGCTGTGTATGTCTCTTACTCATATGAGATCTTTTCAATTACTATCACTGATCATCTCTTGCTGACTTACACAACTTGACAAAAGCCCTGGCGTAATCATTTTCAACTGAGAATGGAGGAAGGGAAATAAACAACAGAAAAGCGACGATTTATTACACTGAAAACAACCTTCGATATTTATCTATTTACATATAAATAAGCGTCAGTATTTCCGGAAATCTAGAAAATGTTAACATAAATTCTTTGACAGAAAGCTACGTGCACATAAAAATTATCATTTACCTCCATGTTTTTTATCACCGATTAACAATTATTTAGATAAACGGAAGGCGCTGGAAAATAATTGGTTTTAGCTAACTTTTAAGTACTGCGATAATATCTACGATTTCAAAAAAGAATAAAAATAATGTACTATAGAAATGTAGTTATCTAAAGAATGTAGTTATCTGATTGAAGGGGCAAAAAATTTACTCTGATAATAGAGATTGATGTCATAGATATGAATTCCAATAGATACCGCAACAGAATGGCCTTATTAACTCAATAGATAAATAGGCTTTGTAATTTATCAAAACTTCTGAATTCATAAATATTTATCTCAAAAAAAGTTTAGTGTATGAACAAAAATATGCTTCTCTATTTTATTAACAATTATTGATAAATTATTTAAAAATTTTACTAAATATGTTTTTAGGTATACTGCAAGGTTTTTAATAGTGTGATATTTTTTTGTGATTTGTTACGATTTTGTATTGATTATAATAAGTATCACATAAATACCCTAATCCATCTGATCTGCAAGCTAGGATACCCTGTGTTATGAGGAGACAAGCAACAAACATTTCGAGGCACAGCCCAGAATACCAAAATCGGAGCCAATTCAGAAAATTCGTTTCCTAAATTGACTCAATTGGGAATCGATTCTGGGATCTCATTTATGCAAAGCAACGCAGAGTAACGTAAAGCAACAGCGCCACGGGATTTTCATTTTTTCATTTTCACAATTATGCAAATGTATATTGAACGTTTTGCAATCGATTGCATTTCGTCCTGTGTTGGTCCCATTTTAATATTGTGATAATTGAAGTGGCGTCTTTTTTTGTAGAGAAACAAAATGTAAACATATGTAAATACGCAATATTTACAATGAATTCTGCATTGTAAATATTGCGTGCTTACATCTATCAAACATCTCGTTTATCGGTTCGTTCACGATTGAAGTCGCTTCGTTTTTCCGGACCGATATATGCCTACTTGTATTATTTATTGTTACATCATAAGAATATGTGTATAATATCTTTTTAATCATATTTTTCCATATTATTCGTAAAAAAAGAACGAAAATCTAACTCCCAAATGTATATGTATATCTATAAACTAGTAAAATCATTTGGAATGGGCAAGGCCGAAAATGAGAGCAATGTATTGAAGGGTACTATGGGCATCAAGGGTACAGAGTAGAGAGGCATAACATTTGAGTCCTCAAAAATGGCAATGCATGAGGGTATTTTGGGCGAAACAGTATATTACTGTAACAGTATTTACTACTGTGATGTCCATGATATTGCTCATGTCTATCACGACGCTTAACACTTTCCATCAGGTGGGTCGACAGTTTGTTTCCCATTTATATCCCAATATCTACAAAAAATTATTTTCCATAAATAGCACGACCAATATCTATTAAGATTAATTTAGCATAATAATTGAGGAACAAAATTAATGAAATTTCTGCACTCTTTTAATTTTCTATAGCCTGTAGTCAAATTTCTATTCGACGAAATTGTATTCAATACAATTAGACTGGAATGAATAACAAATTGGTTCTAACGTATCTTTTTTATTGAAAATTAATTTGTTTTCCGAGTATATACTTAAAGAAAGATTTAATATCGAAATAAATACTAATAATATGAGAAAATAAATTGATATACTCTTGATTTTGTTGGTATGAACTTCAACAGCTTTACATAAAGACAAGGATTGACTAAATAATCAATCCTTAGGTAGGTAGTTAGTTTATTAATTAATAAAATATTTTTTATTAAATTGTAGTCGAACAAGTGCGGATTACTTTCAATATTCATCGATTATCCAATTTGACTTCCTATCCAGTTTATTATTAGAGCAGCAGCCTATTTAATCTAAATTAGACTGAATACTTTCTAGAAGAGTTCTTAAATTAAAAAAATACCTCTTCGACATCGCTTTCCACTGCAGAAGGATTTTTATTTAATTTTGGTTCTCGGTATTTAATAAGCCAAAAACCTAAAACTTACTTAATTTTCCTTATTTTAGATAAGAAAATTATAAAATAGCACATTTAATTACAAAAAAAAGTTGTGATAACTGTTAAAACTATTTAATTTACGCACAAAATTACCTCGAGTTTACGTAGGAGCGAGAAAGTAGTTTCCATGCAAATATAATAAAAAATTTAGTGTTTTCAAATAAGTTACGAAACAGTAAACTAAATGTCATTTAATGTTTATTAAATTGATTTACCTAAACGGATCAAACGTGAAAAACATGCTCTTAATACAGATTCCTAAAATTTCAATAATAAAATACTATATATATATATATATATATATATATTTTTTTTTTATATATATATATTTTTTTTTTTTATGCAACTTAGAATGACAAACAAGCTGACGGCCCACCTGATGGAAAGTGGTAACCGTCGCCTATAGACATGAGCAGTACCATGGACATAGCAGACTATACTGTTTCACCCATGATACCCCCCATGGGTTGCCATTCCTGAGGACTCAGGTGTTATTCCTCTGTACCCTGTAAATTCACGCCATATCCCACCCTTCAAACCGAAACACAGTCATGCAAACACAACTGCTTCACGGTTGAAACACGAATGGGACAGAGGTGCCCAAGCAATCGACTTTTGTACAAAGTCTCCCTCTGGTAAATATATATATATATATATATATATATATATATATAAGTAACCAATCTTTATTTTTTATTTGTACTACTATTGAATATCAGCGATCAATTATTCGTTTATTTAGACGAAAACATGTTTAGTTCTAAGATAAATCCGTATATAACAGAGTATTGATTTGATGCTTTTTGGTTCGTAGAGTGATTGAACGAGCTATAGACAAATTGGCTCGACGACATGGTGTTCACATCAACGAGTATGACGCCAATAATGGCGCAGACAATGCGCGCCGCCTCACCGGGAAAAATGGGATGCCACATATAAGAGATTTTACTGCAGGTAATTTAAACAGAATTGCCGTTTGAAAAAAAAAAAACAATTTAGCGGACCCGCTTGCGCGAACCGGACATTGAGATTTATTGTAAAGTTAATTGTTGGGAATTTGACGCTGTCTACGTAGTAGTAGATGTAATTATAATATTTAGTATATAGATTTTAATAAAGTAGATAAACATGCCTTTACCGTATTAAACACTGAATTATTTTTAAAATCTATAGCGGCTGGAGGGTATGTACATTTTTACACTGTAATACCACTAATGCACTGATGTCGTTAATACTAAGTTCTCTTGCCATTCCAAGTCGTATAAAAATAATGCTATAAAACACGTTAAATTTTGCATTTATATGATAATTCGGTCAATATAGGTATTTTAATGTTATGTATTCCTATAGCTTTTTCATATGATCATAACTCGGAATAACAGCATTAGAATGCTCTTGAGAAAGATTGTAACATTTATATTTGGGGTGGAGAGAGATTTAAAATAAATCAAGAAAAGTAATATACTGAAACTCTGAGGGGCAGACAACATAATAATTTAAATTGTTGGGTAGATTAAATTTCATACAAATTTCGTATATCACGTAAGTAAACAGTAGGAGAGATTTTCCAAAATACCCATGAGAGTGAACCCGTCAGTTTTGCGCGGATGAACTTGAGGTGGGAATTATAACAATTACAATTATAATATAAATATTACATACACACATACACAATAACAAGATATAATGTTAATAGTAATCAATTTAAATTTTTACTGCATTATATGTATTTTGTATGTGTTCTATTTATTTTATGTTTCAATTTTGAATGTAAATTATTAAATATACAATCGAATAGAATATATCATTATTGAAAAAAAAAATTAAAACTTTTAGGCCAAATTATATGTATTAGAGGCTAATTCACTAAGATTAAATTTTGTAATGGAGACGCATCTATTTTAGTTTCAATTTTTGGGTGTAATTACACCTAATATATTGTCGAATAAAATATAACTATTAAGTAAATCTGAAAATTTGGACTAAATTAGACAATAGAAGCTTATTAACTCAGGTTAAATTTCGAAATTGAGATCTTAAGTGAAAATTATTTTGAAGAGTATTTTAAGAAGTATCATTAGTGATAATAATATCTAAGAGGTTTAGTGCTAGATAATGTTTTATATCAATAGATAGCTTTTGTAACACCAATGGTTATACGTTTTAGTTTTCATATAAATTATGATATTCTGTCTATTGATCTGTGATACACATCGTTACGGGTGAAATAGGAAATTTCATGGCTTCTGGAAACCAGTTCTTAGTTCCTGTAAGGTAGCGTAGTAAGGTATCTATCTCATATCATGGATAAGTGCAATCTATTATATACGTTCAAACATATGACGCTAACTGTATCCATTTCCTGTTACCAACAGCAAGTATGTATTTGTAATATGAAATTTCAAATATTAGTTAGAACATGACACGTGGTGTCATATGATGTTTATACACTTAACAGTTAACCGTGATCTTCATCATGTCAATACGTTGTTGCCGGTTTTCTCTGAAATCTGACAATAGCCCTATATATAATGAAAAATTAGTTTTGTTTATATTAAATATTAGAAAACAAACAGGATAGGACATAGACATATAGACATGATCAGTATTTTATTGGTGATCATAGAATACACTATAACGTCCGTTGATAGTACTTCTCATGCGTTATCATTCCTGAATTCGTGAGGATTAAATAGTTGTATATCCGTAATTCCTTTGCTACCTTTCAATACGTAACAACATCAAGCAAATTGCTTCAAGATGGGAAAATGTATAGGACAGAGGTACCAACTTAGAAACAGCTTTTCTAGTTTCCCTCTGAAATTTTTACGAAAAGATGAATAAAATTGTAATTTTTATATTATTTAAAATATCGTTAAATAAAATTGTGAAAAAGCTAGAATGGCAAGCTTTCCTGCAATTATATGAAACATGTTTTTATTTGATAGCCCACAATGTGATATTAAAAATGTTTGTCCGTATTTTTATTTGGATAATTTATCTACCATATATTATATAAGTATGTCGTTTTTAATTTATATATCTACGTAAGAATATGCAAAAAAGGCAAGAGATACACATGAATGCGGAAGTTAATAAGTATTGCTTATTAGCAATGGCATCGTAGTTATTCTACATAGACGGAATTGTAAATTTTGTCTTGCGATTAATCGCTATGATATTTTTATTTTCTGTTTTCTATCAACGGAATCTAGGTCAACTTGATTTTTTACGACTAAGCCTCTCGTCTAGATGAAAAGTGTGTCGCTACTGAAGCGTTCTATGTATACCTATATTAAATCATTAAGACGAAACTTTTAACACAAAACCAAATTACAACCTACTTATTAAATTTTATTATTAGTTCTAATAAAATAATGTAATACTAATGAAATAATAATTATCTTCTATTTTTTTTTAAATTCTTATTGTAAAGTGTAACACAGAATTATTCAATTTTAATATTTAAAAAATTACTCAAAGGTAGATTTTTATATAAATATAATAATTTAGCTGGTTTACCTATATTAAATTTTTCATTTATGCATAAGATTATAAAATACTTTTAATGTAGTCCTTAAATAGTCACAAAAGTCGATGTCCTAACGCTATTGATGATATTTTTATTATATTTTATATTAGAATATAAACTATGAGATAATAGCTATGAGATAGATGATTGTCATGAACGGCCTAATAGAATATACAAGTATAAGAACGTCGACCCCTAAACTGTGATATTCATAAATTTATTATCAAGAATTTGAAAATGTGTCTTACACCATTAATATTTCGATATACTGTGTAGATATACTATGTATATTATGCAGATACAGTATGCATAAAATATACAGTATTCTTATACAAGGCCAAAGCTTTGTGTACCCGTTCTAAAGTTTAACGTTCCAACTGTTAGTTATACATATACTGTAAGTTCAAGAACTTAAATTTTCTATAATATGTGTAAAAAAGCAAATGTGTTCGTTGTTGTCCAGGTGTAGCTAATAGAAGCTGCAGTGTGAGGATACCACGACAAGTTTCTGAGGACAAACGAGGATATCTCGAAGACCGGCGACCAGCATCGAACGCTGACCCCTACCGAGTCATATCTATCATACTAAGAACTTGTATATTTGATGAATAGTACTAATTAAGTCTCAGAATTTATATATGAAATATTTGTGTTTGTATTATATATTACAATAATAGTACCAATTCAATCTGAGAAATTGTAACATTTGAAATATTTTTATTATAAATAAAGTTTAAAACATGTTGGTAATATAAATTATGCTTTCTACTCCTGTCGGTGATATTCAAAACGCTCCATTTTTTAGATCAAAAAGATTTTTTTTAATTTGAATACGGAACTAGTTCGGATATTATATAAATATGTTCGTATTGGTTATAGACTAATATACAACATATTATAAGTGTATACTTGGCCATGAATTAAAGTAATCAGTAAAAATAGGTATCATTACGAATCATAATGTAATATTTGTCTTGTACTTTCAAATATATTCGTAAGAATTTTGTATCTATATATTACAATTAATTTTCTCGCATATACTGACTAGTAAATGTAACTATGGTAACCCTAATCACGCACACATATATGCAAAAGTTGACCTGTTTTTGATTAAGATTTTTTAATATGTATACACCTACTATTTATAAATTACAAACTTATAACAAACTTATAACATATCTTTTAATGACACTAGAGCATTTTCTGAAATCTTCAGAAACTGACTTGTTACAAGTAATTTGAAAGTTGTTAAGACCTTAATGCTACATAACTTTGCTTCGCAGAAAAATGTTACTGGGTTTGAGTCAACCTAATTTGAAAATAAAACTACGATAACCATTTGAATCTTTACGTGTCATTATTTTATATAATAAAATATTAAAAATTTAATATTTCGCGTTTAATTATATTTCGCTTATTCATTTGTGTAGGTAAGCTTTTATATAATTTTCATATGTACCTGTACATTACATACATTTCATACATATAAATACACAAGCAGACTATTTCCATATATCTTTAAGAATTATAACTAAAGATTGTACCCCACAAAAGAAACCATAAAAGAGTTCAATTGTGACCAACCAAGTTATTTCGATCTAAAAATTGAACAACTGAACCAATTTTGATAAAATTTATATGAGACCAATCTGCACATATGTCTTTTTAGATAAAAAAAGAATTTTCCAAATCTAAAACTGACGAAGTAATGAGGTAATAAAAAAACATGCAACCGAATCGAGCATCTCCTTCTTTATGAAATCGTTCGAAAAAGGAAAAATTGTCTAACGAAATTTACATCTACTACAAAATTTACATCTACATATAAAATATGTTATGAAATTTTGTCACGTATATGTATAGGTAATAGAAGAATGAAAAATATAATTCTCATCCAAACGGCAAGAAAGCCTATTGTTGTGCCATGATTCCATTGATTTATTCAGCCCATAAAATTCTGTAAAAACACAACAGATAACATCAAGGAAACAAATGAATTTATATTTGTTTTTTTTTTTTGCAGGATTATTACTTTTGATGTACCACAATAGTAATATGGTTTGATAAATATTTTCGAGACAATTGTGTAGGTCTCTAGACACACTTGACATAAACCTAGTGAAGACTATTTATTGTCACGAGTAGAAGCCCTGTGATATAATATTAAGAAAATTTACCTTAAAACTTTTGCATTTAGTACACACTAGCGACCTGCCCCGGCTTCGCACGGGTGCAATGCTGATACTAAATAGCGCCGCCGATCTCCCATTACATTACGACACTACATTAGAAACCTCTAAAATTATCAGTGTTCCTCTACTATTATATATTATGTATGTATTATACATATAAACCTTCCTCTTGAATCACTCTATCTATTTAAAAAAAACCGCTTCAAAATCCGTGGTGTAGTTTTAAAAATTTAAGCATACATAGGAACGGACAGACAGCGACAGCTACTTTGTTTTATACTATGTAGTGATTATACTATATGTTGTGTTTTAATATAAATTATTAAACGGTAAGTAAATAATATTTTTACCTTATTCGACGTTTTGACTAGATTGCACTAGCCCGGAATTCACTATATCGCTGATACTAACTGCAGTGCCATTTAGTTATACTTGATATTATATTTTTTGGTTATAATATATTCTACTTGTATATGATGCTAGACAAATATCAGTGCGCTCATAAATTTTACTACCATTTTGCTCTCAAGGGTAATGTTGAAGTTGAGCGAGTTCTTGTTTTTTTATCACCTCAAAGTAGGTTAAATAAATTCAAACATGACTGAATGATGATTCAGTCTTCTAATCCAGTGGCTTTTCTTAAATTATTATTAGGAAAGGCATGTGGTCGTGATAATTTAGAAGATTGGTTCTAATAATCAATGACTTTCGTTTATTGAGCGAACGTATATATTTATTCAAAGTGAGACTCATATTTATATCTTTCTAGCGTTCCTTTATAATTATATTAAGAAATTGTAAAGCTCATCTAATCAAATAAATAAACAATTTTTGTTGTAAAAACTACTGTTATGATTTGTAGTGTTTAGTTAGTCTTTTTAAATAGGTTTTCTATACTTACCTGTGAATATAAGTTGTATTTATAGAGTTTTAGATAACTTTCATACAAACTTGCTAACACTCGCTTGCGGTACATATGCTATAAATACTTATTCTAAATACCTACCATTAAAATTTTATTACTTCCACTATTTTTATATGCTTTGTTAACTACAATTTTATGTCTGATGTTTTCGTAAAAGACTTTGTGTTTTTTGATGCCATTATTTTACTATCTACAATTCTGCTAGTGTTGTTTTATATATACGATTTAAAAAAACTACTGTAAAAAACGCTTCAAACTACGCTTCTTATATTAAGTATATGGGATTGATAAATAATACACATGATACTATTATATTGTGATGTGCATGGTGAGAAGTTAACTTGTTTGCCATTACTAGCAGTATAAAATAAATATCTAATTATATCTCATAATTATACTCGTATATATAATATATTATACACGGGGGGCATACGGGCATGTAGCCCAGCCGATGGTAAGTGACTATCGCCGCCCACAAGCACCCGCAACACCAGAAACATTGTAGGGGCAGAGGCACTCTTAATAATATAGTGTGTTAATATTATTTAAATACTGTATGAGTAAATATACACTTATGCAAATACTAATTAAATATGATACGTAAAAACAGGTTATTTCTTCTCGGCTGAAGATAAAAAAAATTTAATCTTATATTTATTTGTTATTACGTTGCTACTACATTTATTTATAATTCTAACATCACAAATTAATGGAATTTTTATATTTACACTTTATCGTCGTAAGTTAGATCTGTGAATTCAACAATATTACTATTTGGAAATATATACAATTCACTGACTCGTTCGTCTCCAAGAGGGCAGTCGTTACTATTGGACAGTCTTTTAGCTGATGTATTTCTTTTATTTTTACTGCCATTGTTCAATCTTTCACTACCATTATTATCGTTAACTTCATTAGATCTTGTTATTCTAAATCCATTACCACTTTGTAAATTGTTCTGATTTCTTAAACAATGACAACTTCTTGCTGTTGGCTTTAAGGTATCGAGAGGCACAAGATTTATAGATTTTCTCGCCGAGTACACAGTTCTATCGTTTGTTGACCGAAATGATAGTATTCTAGTCCTGTATGATTGTCCATCCTGCAATAAAGAAGCGATTTGATAAAAAAAATACCTAATGCAATACACTACGTTAATAGAAAACACGACGTTGACGTTTCAAGGGCAATAAGCCTATTCTGTTATACATCGCTATTGATGATTTATGTTTACCAAATCATGATGGTTTATTATAATGACAATATTGTATTAAGTAAAAATTAATAATAACATGGCCTAACAAAGTACTATGCATTACTAAAATACACAAATAATGAAATACATTGATAACAGATTGATTGATTATTAGTATAATTCAACAACGCGCAGCTTAAATAATTTAATATAATTTATTTATAATTAAAACCCAAGGTAAAATAGAATTTATTTGAAAAATTAACCGGATCGATTGATGCATAAATTTTGAGGATGCTCGATTTGTTTCGGGATCTTTATTAAGGTCCCGGATGATCCCGATTACATTATAACAAGTAATGTTGTACCCAGATAACACTGTTCTTAAAATGTTACATTTTATTTTTAACGTATAAAAAAAAAAAACGTTGATTTATTTTTGGCGTAGGGTTTAATAAAGGGATCAGGAAAGTCATATTACGAATAAAATAAAAAATAAAGTAAATTAAAGTTTAACACGATATTATTAGTTTATATGATTAAAGATAATTCTGTCTCGTACCAAATTTTTGAGAGATTGCCTTTTTAAATCCGATGTATTAGATTAAACTCTACTGTTACACCATGTAGGGGCACATAACAGCCTCAGAATAATAGTAAATATTAATTTTATGTTACAATTATTGTTATTGTTAGTAGTATAGTAGAAAAAAAATTATAATAAGCTAGATGGCAACTTTAAATTTTTCCCACGTGAATTAGGAGACAACTTATGGTCTTAAGTATTATGCCAATATTTAAAGAAAATTAATTTAAAAGTCAGTAAAATCAAAATGATAAGTATCCTTTATATGTAGTGTTTTGCTACTGAAATCTGAACATTTTCTCTATAAAACACGAGTGGAAAAATGACAAAAAGATTTAAGCCTCCATATGAATATGGCGAGTCCAGCTATCATGTTAGTACGAGAAGCTCTACATTTTTTGTTCGCGCTGGGTCAAACCGAAATGTCATATATACTATAGGAGAATTGCTTGTATAATATGATATTAAGATTTTTTTTCCTTAATATATAACGGGAATTTTATGAATTTACTAGCAATAGCGCCCAGCTTCGAATAGGTAAATAGATTTTTTAAATATAATACTTAACCTATGTTAGTCGCTGATAATGTAGCTTTCTACAGGTAAAATTTTTTTATAAATCGATTTAGTAGTTTTTTGGTTTATCCATTACCAACAAACAAATTTTTTCTCATTATTATATAAGTATAGGTTATGTTTTGGTTTATTTATTTATTTATTTTTTCCTTGATTAATTTTTATAAGTGTTGAGATTATTCCAATAAAACTTTGTAGCTAATGGATAAAAACTCACCTCGTAGCTGTCGTTGGCAAATCTGCTTGGTTTTTTCCCAAAAGTAAAACGTTGTTTAAATTCTTTCTTAAACTTTTCCTGGAATGTAAATTTTTCCATTAATGTCGAAATAAAGTAAGCTACAGGTAATATTGTTAAATAAAACTTAAAAGTAACAAAAAATTTGTTGTTCGGTAATCCTTCGCCGTCCGTTGCTCCTATTAATGAATTATAAATTTATTATTTATGATTAATAAATATGCAATAATGTTTGTATTGAATTAATTTAATTAAATAAATATAATAATACAAGCAACCTTGGTGGTGAAGCAGTTTAAGACATTGCTTTTTCTTTCTATGGCTGCATGTTCGATTCCCGCATAACATAAACAGTATATATATTTATGCCCGTCTTGGCTTCGCACGGGTGTATTAATAAAGAAAATGAGACCTTTTCTTCCCTCACACTCACTTTTATATATCGAGATTTATTAACACAAATTTTTCCCTTTCCCATACAATATTTCAAACATATAGATTTTCTTTCATACAAATCTTATCTTGACAAATACAAATACAACAAACAAACACAATACAAAAACAAAAGAAATTAACTAAATAGATGCAGTCGGTCGGAAGTGATGCGCTCGCATACATTTTTATTTATGTAGATATGTATTGTACTACCCATAGTGCAAATTCTGTTTAATTTGAATCGATTTAGTTACAAAACTAATAAATAAAAAAATAAAATTAGCTACAATATGTTTGTCTTAAAAATATATATATTTCAGCAAAAAGATCACCTTATTTATTACTCATGTTCTGTTAAAAATAGGACAACCACTGCAGACATATTTTGTATTCATAGAATAGAGACTTTTTGGGATTCCAGACTTGAGTCATAGTATAAATAGTATAGCCTGAATATATTAACATTATTGGCGTCGAAAACATACCATTTGTTTGCATTCTAAATAAAAGCGTTGAGTCTCACAGAGAAAAAAAAATCCATTTGAGTACAAAAGAAGACATTATAAGAGACTTCTATAGAGCGTGATATTTAAATAAAATTGTAGAACTCATCATGACTTTGCTCTTATACTATTATTGGCGCAATATGTTTTCTTATTTCAGGTTTGCCATTTGCTTTTATTTTTAGGTTTATCCCTCTACTATATTAGTGTATTATAATAAATTAAAGTTATATTAATACACATATACAAAGTGGTCTGACATTCTTATCGTACTTAGCCATATGTATTCTTTTGTCGATCCAAATAAAGACTAAATAAATAGTCTTGGGAATGTTTCTATTATTATGTTTAAAGCAGAGATCAGAGGTTTGTGGTAGTTTATTGGATGAGGTGCTCTGCAGAAAGCAGTAGCCCAATTGTAATTCGTTTGTATAGACGTACTTCTATTTTGTGCTATCAAAAAATATTGTCCTAAGAATATCGTAACTTTTATAAGTAATACTTTAGAATTATTGGATTTTTATTATTTTTGGTGTTTGCGCCTATAGTCTAATAATCCGCTTTTGGTACCATATTTTCTTTTGGTCAATGAATTTATTTAAATAAATAAATAAAACAAATTAGGAATTCAAAAAATCTAAATATATCTGTATAGACTTTTTTAAATAAGAAAAAAGAAACTACGATATCTCATAAAGCTGTATAAAGCTTTGTGAGATGTCGTAGTTTCTTTTAGGGAGATTGAAACTCTGTAAGAAAGTATTTTCGCTTTAAGGAAGAGCTTAATCAAATAACACCTCGCGATAAATTTACTTAGAGCTCTTTAAAAATAATATGCATTCTGTTGTACAGAATATTAGTTATATAAACTACTTAAAAACATTTTCCTCTTCATGAAGTGAGATTTTTTATATGTCTGTAGTAAGTTTGTTCATCCGTGTGATCCTGGCATAGAATAGGCCATCCCTTCCTTTCCAGTGGGTGTCATAAAAGGCGACTAAAGCAACTTAATGGTAGAAGGATGGGCAGCAGCGTCCTGCTTAAAACATCTCTATAAGCCTAACTGCGGTTACCAACTCGTCTGCCAAGCGTGGCAACTACTGCAAAACTCCCCTTATGGGGAAGGCTTATGTTCAGCAATTGACAGTTTACGGTTGAAATAATGATGAATGATATAGTAAGTTTGATACTATTATATACTTAGTACATTAACAAGACTATTTCTATAATACTGCCACCACTATTCACATACAATAAAATTATATCTAGATGCTGTATGTACATATAAAACTAAACTAAAACAATATTTTTAGTATTCTTGACTATCTGTATGTTTGTTACGACATCATGTAAAAATTACCGCGCCAAATGGATGCGATTTTGACAGCTATGTACCTGAAGATCGAACTTAAAATCTAGTGTAAATGTTATCTTGATAGACCTTTTAGAAATAGTCTATTTCATTAGATTATCTACTTCCAAAACCTATATTATTCTCCAAAGTCACGGACAAACGCTAGTTTTTTCTATAATATATTTTTGTATAATATATATAAATGTTTTAAATAACGTAATAGCTGGAAGAATATCTACCTATTTACGTATTATCTATACATCGTAACGCATCAAACGCTGTTCTGTCATCGTTCGTATACCTAAATTTGCTTGCAAAAATTCTCCATGTATTTTATTTACCATACAGATATCTGTATTATTAAAATGTTGAGGAAGTCTCGACATACCTTTGATAGAAACGTCATAATTATATGTGGATTTTTTTGAGAAAAATCCTTCTTTTTTTATTTATTATGAAGTTCCTTCTGGATTAAAGGTATCAATAAAATATTAATTGTCAAATACCTATAATTATTTAACTAAAAATTTTCCTCATTAAGGTATTTTTTGCACATTTTACAAGTATTTCTTTTGTTTATTTCCAATAAATTTAAATAATTAGGATTTTTATGATGCTATGGGATAAAAATCTATATTTTTCACTAAACGTTGTAAGAAAATAGCTGGAAATTTTATTTCACGAAGTATAAGAGGGATTTTGCCAGTAGTTACCACGCTTGGAAAGCGTGGTGATGCTTTAAGGACGCTGCTACCCAATCCTTTACAATAAACATCCTCAGTCGCCTCTTAAGACACCCACGGGAAAGGAAGGGGTGACCTATTCTATGTCGGGCCCGCACGGCTTTTAAACGTTTAAATATATTTTTACACGTAAATTTCATATATTTAATGTTTCCTAAATTTCATCCATAACATAATGGAGAACTTTTCTAAAGCCGTATCTATGACTGCGTATTTACCACTCGACGTATTTTTCGTGACCACATAAATAAATATTAGGCACTCGCTCGGAAACGGGTGTTAAAGAAACTTCTATAAAGAAAGAAGGGCTGTTTGTAACTATTTTCGATAACATGATTGGTACTTTCATTCGTGTTGTGTTTTATGGTATATAACATACAAAATTGTAATTTTTAAATTGTAATAGAAGTAAATCTAAATTATTTTTGAAATGTTGGTCGGACTTTTTAAAATTAATTTAATCAAGTCTTAATTTATTAATAGTTATAAAGTTAATACTTTTTATTATACAAAAATATTTTATTCCCATGGGATATATAAAAACTAGTTAGAGAACAAAAATTACATTTAGACGTGAATAAATGAGACTTAGAAGTTGTAAGTAGTTGGGTGTTGTAGCCCAGTAATGCACACGTAGAGTAATTTACGATTAAAACGAAGGCACGGGAAAACTGTTATTAATTTTGTTGGAAATAATTGTCAGAACTTACAGTTATTTCATATTTATGTTAGTCCTAAATAAATCTCTACACTTCAAGAAAATAAACCAATGAACGGAAAAAATATACACTATTTTTCTTTCAACAACTGGTTTGTTCAATAATAGCTTAATATATTTTTAAAAACATTACGTACTTTACAGGAAGTTACATATTTAATTTGTAACTTTGTGAAACTTTTACTTTCCCCAAAGCCTAATTTACAATTCCTAATGGCTCTCATTTATTCAAAGTAAACCATTACCTTTGTCTGCAGTTTAAGGTGGATAAAAGTTTCACAAAAGCTAACTATAAATGTCAAAGAATTATATTACTGTTCTTCAGTGACCAATTAAATTTTAACGATTAATATTTACATAAACGTTCAAGCTAAATGAAGTAAAAGTAATTAAAATTTCAGAGCCTCCGGGTCGAAGATCAGCGCTTTTCTGGTGTTTATTGATTCATTATCTTGTTTTGTTTCAATAAACAATCATTGAAGCAATAAATCACAAAATGATAGTAGAATTTATTGTTTTGGTTATTGTTATTGTATTTTTTAACATAATGCAGTTATACTCTTATTATTAGGTGTGCAACCTTTTCTTTTTCAATATAGATCAGTCGATACAATGAGTAATACATAATACGGAAACGGTGATATATGAAATTTATCATTTTTTATTTTAACAATATACATGTTTAATCATAATGAATATACAAAACAAAACTCAATAATGATATTCAGACTGTTGTATTGTCGAATTTATATTGCCGTATTGTCGAACTCTCAAAAAAATATTTGACGTAGTTAGTTTCATGCTGCTAGATTCAAAAATATTTGTAAGAATTCAACTATGCTTCTTTAGTCTACGTTTCTTAGACGATAAATTTGTCTGCTACTACGATGTGAAAAAGATTACAATTAAAAGATACGTATACTTACATTATATATGGCGTAAATAAACGGATTATAGCATGAGTTGCTCATTGCTAGCCAGTCGAAACAAAAGAATATAACGTTAATGTATCTGTACCTGAAATAGAAAATGGAATTTAATACAAAATAGAATGAATATATATTTTTCTATTCTATTGAAGATAGGAAAAGAGCTGATGCTTTACTTAGCGCAAAGTGCAAGTTGACTATCGATATAACACAATGCACTAACAAAAGCATACACTGTGTCATCCATAACAATTCTCGTCTCTTACCACTCTCTCTTTACACTCTTAGAACTACAGTATTAATTAGCGCTTTTATAATTTATCAGAGTACGACACGATTTTTTTATTTATTCATAACGGTACATATTCAATTAGAATAACAATATACAGATGCTTTTAACTTTATGTCTACATTAACATTAGGTATGCGCATGGAGTACATACATTATATCGGAAAATTAAAAGTCTGTAATACAATTGCATACTTTTTGCTTTCTTATTAAAGCGTGACGTACTGTGCTACGATAATTTATAAAAGCCAAAACCTCACACATTAATAATCAAAACCACTAACCGACTGTTATCTTTCAGATCCAAAACGATGCTGACGTAATTAGATATCTACCTACATTATGGTAGAGTACTATATAGTTTATAAAACTGTATTATTAGTCAATATAATAATGGAAGATTAATCACTCATTCAATAACACCGATATCACTACAAGCATGTATTTAAATATATGCATATAAAATGTTCAATTGGTCCTCAATGACCCCGACTAAATTTTGATATTGAGATCCAACATAATTTTTTGTTCAAATAACTTTAGAGCATTATAGGTAGTATTTTCGAGGGAATTTTGCGCGGGGATGATTTGCTATTCATAACATTTTTAACAACACTATAAATAGTAGAGACACTGTTTGCATATAAACTGAAATAATTTGACGGCTGTCCGTAAATGAACAGTCTAAGTAATGATTTTAAAAATATCCTTTTCTCTAAATAAAGCAGAAACCGATAAATTAGAATACCCTGTCCTACTACGGCTGTCCAGAACAAAAAGTATTTACGTACTCAAATATTTAATAATTTTGTTGGTATTTATTTTCGGCAATAGCCTGTTAAGCTGTTGTATCCACTCACGTATTCATTAAAAAGTGCGGTTTAATCAATTGAATCTCAAACCGGCAATTATGATATTTAAAATCACAACGCCTAATCCTCTGTAATCCCACCAAAATTTATATTAGGTACGTTGTTTAATTTAAAATTGACGTAAAAATGTGGATACATTTTTAACTCTATTATAATTTCGAGTGTATACAATACCACATTACGTTTATTATTCAAACCTTACTAAAAATAGTATTATTTTAGTCAAAATATTATTTTGCTTTTATATTAAAAATAGATTTTATAACATCGCTTCAAATTATATATTTATTTTCTTTGATTAATCTTTAAAAAACACAATTCTCTTCTTGTAATTGGTTAAAAAAATAAAGTAGTTTGTTCTTCTTAATTTGTTGTCGATTATGCAATGTTTTCACCAATTCCTAAATCAGTTTCGATAATTATTTTTTTAGTTATAGATCAATTTATTTTTAAGACAATTTAGACACCTAAAAACACAGAGTCAATACATATAATTATTAAACAAATACATAAAATAATTTTGTATTTTTACATACCTTGATATATGTGCCTTAATATTTATGTGCATATATATAATTAGTAAACGTCTGTATCTCGCTAAATAAAGTTAAATTAGGTTAATTTGTTAGGAAATTAATATTAATTTAACACAATTACACAACTTTTTGTATTACCAGATTTAATTATTACATATTAGCATTTTATTACATTCATCCATCTACATATATGATTCTGATATATCTTATATATTGATATAAAACAATTATTATTGGTTTATAAGAGACGAATTAACGCGATAACTGTGATAATTTATTTGAGATCTCGACGTTTCATTACGTGACGTGAAATTACTAGCTATATAATACCATTCTTTATAACTAATATATATTAATATATATTAAACCTTTCTTAATATTTTTTTATAACTACTAATTAATACCTATAGTTATATGTAGGTGTTTCGATAAATTCTTTATTAATTTTTCGTCCTCCGTGGCATAGCATTAAACACATTATTTGCGTAATGAAGGCTAAGATTCGATTCTCAATCTGGATAATTTAGGAAACTAATCTATATGAGCTCGGAGTCTGAGTGATCTTGTTATACCAATAAATGTAACCAATAAATATTCATTGCCTGATTTCTTATATCACACGTTGTCCTAATTTGAGGATCGAGCGATTGTTGTAATTGTGTAGTACCTTTATTTATTAAATTATCTTATTATTTTAACTGAATGCGAAAGAAGTGAAAGCGATTAGCTTGAATTGGAATATTAACAATTTTCAATCAATAATATTTATGTAACTTAATAGTTAAAGAAATGTGATTTTAATATTAAAATAATTTACATTGTTATTAATCAAGTTGCAATTATTATAATAAACATTTTTGTATTTCTTGAATATTACTGACAACAAAACATTAGTGAAAAATAAATTACGAATTATTTTGATAATCTTTATGATCATACTGGTTATGAAAGTACATTTATTTAGATAACAATTTCTTTGCATAATATTTTATAAATGAGTTGTTCAGTCACGTTTTGCTAATATTGGATAATATTCCTCCAGATTATTATCTGAGAGCTTACCCAATAACGTCATTCCTTGTATATGAATAAGCAAAAGATATTTCTTTATTTGTTCCATGTATCATGTAAATATTCCTATTTGATTATCTATTTTGAGCACCCATGGTTTAAGCACCTAAAGTATTACTTATTATTTAAGAGTACCTTTAGACAATAAAAAGGTTTTTTTTTTCGTAAACACATTTTATATACTTGCATTTTCGTAAATCACGTTTAGTTTGGAAAATTAGGATTAGATTCGAATTTGATTGCGATATTCCTTGATTGAATTTGCACCGTAATAAAAGTGCCGGAGCTTATAAAATTATTGGAGAGCCTTTTTAAATTTTTCAATATCATTGTCATCATTATTATTAGTCCACTGCAATCCACTGTTGGACATAGGTCTCTCCCAAAGTGCGCCACTTTGGTCGGTCCTGTGCTTTACTCATCCAATCGTTCCCAGCAATTTTGCGCAAATCGTTACCCCATCTTGCTATATGGTGCCCCACATTACGCCTGTTCAAACGTGATCTCCACTTTAGACAATGTTTGCATAAACGGTCATCGATTTTGCAACAAATATGACAAGCCCATCGCCATTTATATATATTCAAAGTCTCATTCTTCGATGGATTATATTATTTTGAATCCGATCTCTTAAAGAAACTCCAAGCATGGCCTTCTTAATTTATTTATTTATTTCATGGCTCGGTGAGAGTCTTTCAGCTTATGGAGCCCACCGTCGGTATCCACGTCTCAGCAGCGTATGTCATTACTAGAAGCACGCACTGATTGATAACTTTTGTTTTCAAGTTTTGCGAGATGAACGACGTAAAGACGTAGCAAAACTTTCTGAATGTTGCGCAATCCAAGTAGATTCTCCTATCGTCTTCCTTCTCGAAGTGTTTTTTACCTAATTGCTGTATTTGTCCGAAGTAAAATATAAATATAATCAATATATTTTTTTCTACATAAAAATATAAATTCTTTTATATATTGCAAAACAAACCCTTATAAATTGGTCTCTTATTCTTAAGTTGAATTTAACTTTCAGAATCCTTTATCACTATTCCGGATAATTTTGTTTGTACATAAGTTATTTCCCGCAGTTTCACCAGCACTGTTGTCCTATTTCCATGAGTATTTTCTAAATACTTTTTCTTATTGTTTTTTTAAACTTTGCTCAAAAGTTTTCACATTTCTCTACACAACTTTAGAATTCAAAACTTTTTTGAACTACCGATCTGTATCTAATAACATAGGTACTCATAAAATGCAAAACATTAAACGCTAATGAAATGTGTAAATTATGGTTTCGAATAAAGTCAACAAAATGTTTTTAACTGAACGTGAGTGATTCTTTATAACCCCATAAATCCAATTCAGTCGCTCGAACGCCCACACGTATGCTCACCGATAAAAAGCTGGAGGAATCGTACTTTTATCATAATATTAGTCTATTATCTGCACAGTTGGAATAAAAAGAATGTATCTCTGATCAGATTTCAGAAGTCAGTTCTTGTGAGTGCTCTCTAACGTAAACTTCTAATACGGTTAGTTATGGTTACGCTTTACCCATAACCAAGTAAAATGGTGTCTATTTTTTACGGTCAGTATCATTTATTAAAAAGTGTGTCATTGTCATTAACGTGGGTAGTAACCTAATTCTTTTTATTGCCCGAAAAAAAAGGTAATTTCACTTCTTTAATATTAAACCATGATTCAAGGATTACATTGTCCAGCATTTGGTATTAGAAATCCAAGCTGTTATTGCATTCATGCCTCTCGATATCAAAAGAGGGGAATCATCAGTTGGAAAGCTTTGACTGTCTATATTTATTTATGGGATCTCAATGTAATGAATAATTTCTAAAACAATTCTCTTTATTCCATAGTTGTTTTATTCGGGAGAATTTTTAGCTATGTTTAATGAAGATATTATATCGGATTTTTTTAATTTTCATTTATAACAGTTAATTTATTCGATAGAAATAAAGTCAATATTTGACAGTAATACAAGATATTTTTTATGTGAGTGTCATCGCATAAAAAACAAGTATATTATTGTGTATAAGTAAATATAAAAATATGTATATGCATGAAATGGTAAATGTACTCATAATTATATCTGAAAATACATTTGGTTTAAATTTCAACCTGATTTATCTTTCGGATACTCGTACGTTTTGTATTGTAAATGACAGAATGTGTCGATATCTATATATCTGTAGATAAATTATATTAGGTACATACGATGTGGCCATCTATCAGAATATTGAGAACTATTGTTAGATTACGCAACAACAGTATATAAAGTATTAGACGACGTCATTGTTACGTATCTAAATAAGCACCTATCGTGTAACAAGTACAGTACAGGTTATAAACGGCACACAATAAGAAAGATTTGTCCTGATTAACTAGTTTATCAATATACCTACAGCCTAAACAGCTGGAATTCCTTTTATAGGTAGCCACTAAGAAAGGATTCCTTGAAATGTCCACGTCGACGGCAAATAGCTAGCAATATATAGAATGAAATCGGAATGATTATATTCCCTTAATACCTTAATACGCTCTATTAGCGAAACTACCAATGAAACTAAACATTTTTTTAGATATAAATTACACATGACTTGCAAATAATTAATCAAAATGACATAAATATTATATACCAAAATAACCAGACTGACTTCAATTCATTTTAATATGATTAATATGATATTTCAAATTGTTGTTCATTTACTTAATATAAATCGAAATTATTTCAAGACACTTTATAACAACTCTATATTATATATATGAATGAATAATAATAATCATAAAAATAAATAAATATATGAGTCAAAGTACGATAATAAATTCTGAGCCTTTCATGAACTGATCGAGCTCTTGCACTTTTTGAATGATGAAAATGGTATAGTAACTCCATCTACGCCGCCGGTTTATATTGCCAAGTTACCTGCGAGGTGTAATAGCCGAGTATGTCGTCATCTGTTACACCATGTAGGTATATTGTGACAAATTCAATAAAAATTATCCACGATGGTTTTCAGGAAGACTGCTAAGTTATTAACAATTTCTCTTTCTACATGGAATATTATTATGAGAGGCTCAAAAATATTTGCATTCATACTATATTCATTTTGTCCAAATATTAAGTATATTTTATACATCTTTCAACATTCAAACATCATTCATCACATATACTTACTCATTAATCGAAGGAAAGAATGACTGTAACAGCATATAACTTTGTAATGGAAGCCAACACAGCGCAAACAGCGCCACAACCAGAACCAGCATTTTTATTACCTGTGAGAATTAATCCATTAGTCAAGAAAAGGTGTGTACCTTCTATTGTGAAATATTTGCTTTTACCATAAAAATAGCTTTCAATTATTGAGGGTGACGGCACCTAGTATAAAACATTTTTACTTATTAACCGACTTTAAAAAGAAGGAGGTTCTGAATTCGTATTCGTATTTTTTTGTTATCTTTTAACTCCGTCAGTTCTAAACTGATTTGGATTTTTTTATCTGAAATGAAACTTACAAATTTATTCCATAGAATAAAAAATGGTTTAGTAGTTTAGATTTTAGATAAAAATAACTGGTTTTGTCACATTTGAAGTCCGTTTTTTTTGTAGGACATAATCTTTAATTATACTCTATTTGAAGCAATGTTTGGTGTACTTTTGTTTCATTACGTTAATATTCAGTAATTTCAATTGTCTTATTTAATATATATGAAGCAGCTTGGTAAAATTGATATCATAAAATTGTAAGTTTTGATATCCGAGAACTACATCAATAAAATTGTCCGACTTTGCAATTATGTATTTTAAATAATCCTCCTAATTAACTACATGATACTAGATATTGATATTTGGAGATACAAATAATTGGAGTTTGTTTAAAAATAAAACCTAAAAAGTGTTTTAATTAAAACTAAGATTATTGTGCCACTTAAAACGAACAATGAATTACTAAGAGGGAAAATTTGTATAAAATCTGCATCGGCAACGATGTCTCTGCCCCGTCCATGTCTCTGTCGTTAAGCAACTGTGCTTACATGACTCTATTTCGGTATGAAGGATGAGATTTGGCGGAGAAATTATAGAGTACTTTACAAAAGCATAACATCTTTTTCAGGAACGATAACACATGATTATCACCATGTATTTTGAGAAGTCTATGGTGCTGTTCTTATCTATAGAGAAGGGTTACCACTTTCTATTAGATAGATCGCTGGGATATTTTCCAACATACTTACTTGTCTAGTAGTGGCAATAAAATAATAAAAAAAAAAACGAAATATATCTGAAATAAACGGAGTAAGTACCTAATTGTTTCTAATTTTTCTTTCTTTTTCTACTTACCTTTTTTTTGTTTTTCATGTGGTTTGCATCACGAGTTTCCAGTGCATTTCCAGGAGCACGGGCACCCCACAACTTCATCGCCATATGAGCGTAAGCAAATGTTATCACGCACAAAGGAATCACGTACTGAAAAATAATATTCATTATATATCTATACATTAATTTATATACAATTTATTATTCTGAAAAAATATCTCACAAGCTAGACTCCAATAAGCAATGCAATTTAAGATTAACAATAAACCTATTTTAATAGACAATGTTCGTGGAAGATAATTCCTCATTTGTGTAGGTATTGTGTAGGTCCTAACAGGTGTTGTTTTATTATATGATATTCAGTTTATAGAAAAAGTAGTCTTAGTCATACAGGTTACCTAGTTTCTAAATTAAGCTAACATTACGGATACTAGACATCTGATAGTCATTAAATTGACTGATAGAAAATGTTACTAGCATTGAGTCTGCTTTTTGTAGCATATTTTCATTTGGTGAACAAAATTATATAAATATATAAATTGATACTTTTTTCTAAATGCATAGATGCAAGAGTATATTTAGAAAATGCCTAGACAAATACGAACTTTGTCCGCATGTTTTTCTCCATGCCGTATACACGTTTATCAAATTTCATGACGATTAGCTGAATAAAAGTGTATACAACATGAGAAGTAAGGCTGTTTTTTTATATATTTATACATGTGTTTTAATTTTAATTGTGTGATATCTGTTATTTCCTATATTGTAGAATACAAATGAAGCATAATTATTGATTCATAAAATTTTGTTACTTACTTGAAATATATACAATAGCAGTCTGTAGATAGCCAGTGAATGAGAACCGAATTCACTGGGAGCACAGAATGGTTTCTTATAAATTATTTTATTAACTGAAACAAGATAATATAATGTAATCACTAGAATAAGATGCATGTGTAAAAAGCCAGCATATAATTCATAAATGTCATTCATCACTATAAGAGGATCGTAACCTAATGGTAGTATTTAAAAGAGAAAAAACATAATAACATATACTCGTACATATGTTAGAGCGGAATAGACAAATAGGACATTGATCCACATGATACAAGCTGAAAGCTGATTTAACGGGAGTGTGAAAAAATACATTCTTTTTTTTTTATTTTAAAGAGTATTTAATTTTAAGTGGATGTAGCTGATTTAAGTGTGTTATTTCAGGATATAACATAAATTAGGAAAAAAAACAAAATGCACTTTTCGCGTATTCAAGTTTAAACATGTATCTGTTTAATTTCAATATTATAGAAAGGTCAGTAGTATATTGAACGATAATTGGTCGATAAAAATATCATATTTAATCCAAATAAAGTTGAATGTTCACAGATTGAAATGAAAATTATAATAAATGAATTTTTACTATTTACGCAACTTTCATTACATATAAATTTAGAACTATCACATACACGCATTTACAAAATATGCACACTAGTCTATTTTCCTGTCTCCTAGTATATTTATATTGCCAATCTGTCAGTACGTGACTACATTTACTACATCTTTTGTGATAATGATCAGTTTTTTTTTGTTTATAAGGTGAAAATGTAATGGTCACCTGTTTAAGAAAGTCACATCCCTATAAATATCATAATACCCTCCAATCGCGTAATATTCTACCGATTCCCTTGACATAAGAAAAACAGACAAATGGTCGGCCCCAGTCCAACGTCTATCGCGTAACACTGTGCAACTGGTTGCTGTTGTGTCCTACATACTGTATGGAGAACTCGTGAATCCCCTGGACATTCCCTATTATCATTCCCAAGTATCGCGAGTGATTGTTTACCTAACATATATAGTGTGGTTTTCACGAGTAGATCAAAATGGATCAGCGCCATTGTGACATTCACGTGGCGTGGCTTCCTGAATCCTGATGCATCTGAGAGTGTACCGCTTACGCTAAATCTGCAGTCAAGGTGAGTTCGTACCATTTTGACATAAAAACTTTTTTTATGTGACTTAGAACCCGGGCCCAGCCTAGGTCTCATATTACTATTTTCGTGTTAACATAGTTACAATTTAAATCAGCCAGTTTCCTTAACAGTCACTCTATCTATTTTCAGTTCGAATTTAGCTAACAACAAAAGTTTTTTTTTTTTTTTTAATTTAAATTTATAATTCTCATTATTATCACAATCAAGTAGTAAAAGGAGCTTAGGTACTGTAGTAGTCTGGCAGTATGACATTTAAATTGAAACTATTAACAGAAACCATAAAACCCAAACTATTTTGTATCTACAGTGTGTAATCAACTTTTGCCTTAGTTCATTCTGCCTAACCTCTAAACAACTTGCCCTCTTAGATAAGTTGCTAACGAATCAATCGACAAATATGTTTTAGCCACTAGCAAAAGATAAAATGGAACAGCAAAGTCCGACATGTTTTGTTTTTAATCATACGTCAGGTAAACAAAGCATATCTACTGTGAATTTCGTCTGTCACTTGTCTAGAAGATTTGATAGGAAGATAGATATACATAAAATTATTTATATATTAATTAATAAATAAAGTAATTATTTACCACTTCAGAGATATAAAATAAAATTTTAAAATCCTATAAAGAATATTCAATCATTTTCAAATAGTAATTACGGCGTTACATAATACTACAGATACTTTAATTATAAAATTACGTAAGTAAATAACTGATTTATTATTTAATTGTAAGTATTATAAATAGCACTTCAAATTAAATAAAGCTAAAACAGTAACTGTATAAATATGAATTATCTTCGGCGAGAAATCTTTATGCTTCCATAGTAACTACTCCATATTTTCGTCACCATTTTAGCCAAATTGGATTAGGTAATAAGATTTTAGATTTATATCTACATGTTCAAAGTTAGATTACATTATAATAATAAAGCAATTCGTAAAAAAAGTTATTTTGACAATCAAATCAAGAATATATAATCTACTAGCAGTTTCCTGTGGCGCCGTCCGCGGGAATTGGAACATACAATATCCTATGAGTTAAAATATGATATATACCCTATCTACATAAAGTTTCAGTCAATTCAACTGATCGGTTATTTCGTAGCATTTTATATGTGATTCTTTAAATTGATATAACTTTTTTATTTATAAACCGATTGGAATAAAACAAAGACTAAACTAAGTAGAGTAAACCGCAATGCATTAGTGAAAACCTCATTCAAATTAGTTAAACCGTTTCTGAGATGAGCGTGCACAAACCTACAGACAAACAGACAAAAATTCTTAATCATTGTTTTGGGTTCTATTGTGTTTATAAAGCCCTCATATAATAGTTTTTTTTCTTATCTTCCATATATCTTCCATCTAGAGGCAGCGACCAGTTACGATTTTTATTATATATATTGATTGATAATAATCGAATCAAAAAGAAATTGATATTTTATTATTAAACTAGCGGCCCGTCCCGGCTCCGCACGGGTGGACATTTTTATATTTTAACAAGTGGCCATTAAGGCTGCACACGTGACGGAAGCTTAAAAATGGAGTTACTTCTCCCGTTTTCCCAACATTTCCCTTTATTGCTTTGCTCCTATTGATCGTAGCGTGATGAAAAGTATACTATAACCTGGAGTATGAAGAATAATTGTACCAAGTTTCGTTAAAATCCGTTGAGTAGTTTTTGTTTCTATAACGAATATACAGACAGACAGACACAGACAAAAATTTTACTGATTACATTTTTAGCATCAGTATCGATCACTAATAACCCTCCGATAGTTATTTTGGAAATATATTTCATGTATAGAATTGACCTCTCTACAGATTTATTATAAGTATAGATTGAATTCCTATTTAATAGATAAATATTATTTTATTTTAATTTACAATTATAATTACCTTTTCTAAAAGAATGTTTTTATATAATTTTAAAGTTTTGTTAAGAATAATTCTAACTACATTAACTATTATAATAAACTATATAAAAGTAGTGCGTAAATAAATGCTTTTCTAGGGATGCCGCACACAGCTGACATTTTCAGATAAGGGAAAATTTCTCGTATCCGACCGATCGTAAAAAAAGAATTAGATGACCCCTATACCTACAATCTTTTGACAAAAGTGCGGTTACCAAATGAAATAAGCCATTTCACGGCGCTGCCCTTAGAATTTGGTAAATTTACATAGTGGTCCCTGTTGCCGCGTGTTTTGTAACTAAAATTACCGTATTTAATTTTTATTGGAATTACATTTACTACTGTATACCAATATGTAAATAGATATTTTATGTAGTAATTTTTCATGTTTTTATTTATATAAATATAATAATATTTACGTAATTTGGCATTCTGTTATCAATAAAACTAATCAAACTATAATTATACATGAACTAAAAACATACAGCGCTACATTAAAATCCAATTAATTATAGCGTGCTGCAGTTGCTAGTTTTAATGTACGAGTAAGCAAAGAAACTTGCCATTTAAAATTTCGATATTGCGTGTTTTGTTAATAAATGAAAGTTAAAAAATATATTTATATCAGAGGTCGTACTAAGACCAAAAGATGCTAAACAATTTTTTTTAACTCTGTTTTTGTCTGTTTGTATAATTATTTAATCCGGGAACACGATAAAAATACTGCACCAATTTGAAAGCGGTTTCCAAATAGTAAGGAATATACTAAAGGTCTAACTTAAAAACAAGTAGAGTGGTCTCTTGGAGTAGTCTTCCTCATTCATTCTCCTCCTGAAATCCATGGGGTCGAAGTAGCGTAAATTTAGTTTATAATATGTTAACAAGGGCGTAATACCAATGTTAAATCATATGTATATAAAATAATAACAATACTTTTTGTAATTAGGTACCTATAACTTCTTAAAACAAAACGTTTCTTTGGGTACCTCTTTCTTACTCGTATTCCTGTAGTCCCCAGAAGCAGCAACGTATGAGAGGCACTATGAGTATCACAGTGTATTCAGTGATGTTCATAACTATAGGCGACGGTTACCACTTTCTGTTAGGTGAGCCGTCAGCTTATTTGCCAATTTAAGCAGCATAAAATATTATCGCTACTTAGTAATACCGCTTTAATCATATAAACTGCTATTAGTTTATTTTGTTACTTTCTAATTTTGTTAAATTTTTTTTACATTTAAGTATACTAAATAATAATCTCAAAAGTTAAGAACAAAAAATCGTAACTAAAATTTTTTATTAACAAAATAATTCCACGAATTGAAATCTTAATTTACTATTTTATATACTTCTAAATAAATCCTCTTAATGTATTTAGTAATGTACTAAAATAAGTAACAATATTTTATTGTGGAAGTTTTGTCAACAATTCTAATCAGAATATAAATGACCTCAGATTTCTCTCACCCTTTCTCTTAATTAATAGGATTATTCGAATTAAGCGAAAGTGAACATTTTCTTAATTAGTTTTATTATAAATTGCAGTTTTATACTTAAAATAATGTCCCACTTAATAAAAAACAATGGCATTACTGAAATTAAATTTGTATTATCTCTTACCTGGATCTTGTTCATCTTCCATAATAACTTCCCATGACATTGCCATTGGGGCCGCCAGGGACAAAGCCAACAGCCAAATTAATACTATTATTACTTTAGCAATTCGCTTGGATGTGTGGGCACTGTAACAAATGTTCGACATGAAAAGAGTTGGCATATACGTAAACAAAAGAAATTTATGAGCTGGGAGAAATATACCTAATTCTAAAATAAATATTTAAACAGGTAATGATTAATACTGACTAATGGTGACTTGTGATATTGATTTTACAGATGTTCAGTTCAGGCACCACAGTTTTGTAGTTGACTGTGGTACTAACATGAATGTCTCATAGTATTCATAAAGTTGCGGGATAAATAAATAAATATGATTATTATACTACTTAGGTTTATTTGTCAGTTTCTACCTACATGATAGTATTTTATTTTATGCAACTTAGAATGGCAAACAAGCTGATGGCCCGCCTGATGGAAAGTGGTAAACGTCGTCTATAGACAGTACCATGGACATAACAGAGTATACTGTTTCGCCCATGATACCCCCCATGCGTTGCCATTCCTGTGGACTCAGGTGTTATTGCTCTGTACCCTGTAAATCCATATTATATTCTGTAAACAGTATATATGAAATCTACTATATATACTACTGTATATATAGCACTATAAGTATACTAATAACTGATAAAGAGACAATTTATCAGGATTTTTGAAATTTTAGATTTCTTTAAATATATACTTTTAAGAATTGAATGGATATGAATAAAAATGTGGAAGAAAGGGAAAGATAGATATTTCTCAATATTCTCATACGCTGTTTAAAAATATCCGCCACACATTACAAATTAGAATAATAATAACAGTAACGCAGATACAAACAATCTGTATGAGTGCAACAAAGCAGCATTTCTGCTAAAAGCAATCATATATTAAAAATAATATGCAGATGAATCATAATAGGTATTGCTGGCAACTTGGCCAGCCGGTCTTTTCATATACCTAAATATTTGTATCTTTACATATTTTTTTGTATTTGACAAATATTGTTTTGATACTTTTTTCCGTGTAACTTTTCAATATATATTCATTTGATAATATACACAGCTTACTATTGTTCTCCACTCAGAGCAGGTTTTATCTTATTCTAATTTAGGCGAGCATAGTTGCAGGAAGCTTATTGTATATTATAAAGTAGATAGATTCAAGAAAATAAAAATTATAATTACTTTTGTTTTATCTTGGAACATAAATATGAAGCTTTTACGTCTTTTGAATTAGTTTATAATTTCCTCGTAAACTGAAGAAAAGTAAATTTATCAATTTAACGGTCACGTTTAATGCTTCATCCTTATAAAAGATTTTTTTATTAGTTCGGCCGTTTCTCATACTTTTGATATTACTCAGCCATCACTTGATTTATTCCCTACGTCAACAGTAGTATATTATTAATTAATGTATTTGGAATAATATATTGAATCATGATTTATTAATAGTTTTGAAGATAAAAGTTACAAGCAACATTGCGATTGAATATTTAATATCCTAAAAGTAAAAATATGTAAAAGTATTTGAAACCATATAGCTCATAAGCAGCACAAATCAGAAAACGCAGAATCTAGAAACTATATATAACTACATAAGTACTATATATACTACATGCCACATGTATAGATAGAAAATAGGCAAATAACTTTAAAATTCGTTTTTAAAAAAACAATATATTTTTAATTCTTCTAAATCTGTTATTGATTTCCCACTATAAACTACTTACGTATGTGATTACATTTACATCACACAACCTGTGTGTTTACCTAGAGCATACTCGTAATTTGCTACGTGTCAAGTTCTATTTAACTCAATTCAGTAACCCATGAACATGTAACAGACAGAATTACTTTCAAATTTATAGTAAATGATGTAAATAGGTCTAGAGGGAATTTATGAAATTCTGATATGATAGATACGTATTTTATTTTTTGTAAGTTTTATTTTTCTTTCTAGTATTTGTATTACGATTTGAGTTCATTTTATTTATACATATTACACAGCTACCTAAACCCAAAATAATTTGAGTTTTTACTATGGATTTTAGATAACTGATAAAATACTTGAATTTGTACTTTTTGTCAACGTATTGTAAGCAAATAATAATCATCGGCTGCAGTGTAGGCGGGTTTCTGGTCGCAGATTATTTTAAAGTAATCTACATTACGTAACCACCCTTACAATTCATTTTTTATCACATTATTCGTCTATCTTTCTATAAATACTCATCTGTACATATTTTCCATCGTAGATATAAGTCACACATGTTGTTTATATCACATCAGACTGCATTCCTAATAAATAATATTAGATCTCGAGGTCGAGGAGGGGTCAAGTGCCGTATGTGCAACTAGCTTTGGAGAGACTGCATATTCGTCCCCGTTCTTCCTTTTATTGCAGCTGCACAACAACCGCTTTGTGCATAGATTATAGAAATACATAAATATTATGTCTATAATGGAAAAAAAAAATATTAAAATAAAAATAACTAAATAAAAACTTATTTACTATTCTATTCACGTGCCATCACCAACTTTATTTGTAATTAGCTGACCCGGAGAACTTCGTTCCGCCTAACAGTTGATTCATTACCTTTTTTGTTTTTTTTTTGTTAATAATAATAATAATAAATCTTTTATTTTCAACCCATAGTTTACAGTTATTATTATGATATTGTCATTAATCTTTCATGAAATTTTGCCTTACTATTATTATGCCTTATTATTACTTATTATGATAATTAATTTTATTTTTACTTATTCCAAATTAAGTTATATTTTTATTGACAAAACCTGTATCCGTGATTTAGTCCGCACGTGACGGCCCAGTGGTGGCATGCGCGTGAGCTGCGCACGGTACTGGACAGTACTTGGACATTGCAACATTACTTTATTTTTCTAAAATAAAATATTTTTTCTAAAATAAACGTAGCCTAAGTTACTCCTTATTACATCAACTACCTGCCAATAAAAATCCCGTCAAAATCGGTTCAGCCATTTCAGAGATTAGCCAGAACAAATAGACAGATAGACAAAAATTGTAAAAAATATTATTTTGGTGTATGTACCGTATATTTAAATATATGTAGTAAAAATGGTTATTTCAATATTACAAACAGACACTCCAATTTTATTTACATGTATAGATTACATAATTAGTACATCACACGTTCTATTTTAATTTTCTCTAACGGCCAGCGACGGGTCAGCCATCGAATGGGTGACCGAAAAAAGATAGAGGTCGCCTATTCGGGGGCTGACAATTCATGCACCTACTCTGCATATTTACAATCGCCAGTTATCAACTATCATGTACTGCATATCGATACGATTTTACTCGTATTCACTAATTGAATATACACTCCAAAAATTTGCATCCTGTCACCCGTATCAAATAGCGAGGACGATATACCACATAATAACGCACACATAACTCAAAAAAAGAATTACAAATATAACAAATCAACTAAAAATCTACTAAAAGAAGTAAATACGATCATGAGTACCAATATTTCTCTGTACGAGAATTGAAGCTACCACTATAATTATAGGAATTTAGATATTCCTATAAATATATTTATTATATTTATAGGAATATCAGAAAAATAAACGTTTTAAATAAATATAGTCATATAATATTTTAATAAGGTACGTAATGGAATAACATAAACAAAAGGAGTAAATACCTTTGTAAATATAGAACCTTGGCTAATCTAATATTTTTATGTATCTTTTAATTTTCGCATTCAAGTTATATTGTCATGTCTATGATTTATTTCAGAGTATAACTTGTTTTGCCTCTTTATTAATATTTAAAAATAAGAGTTACAAAATTCTATTTATATCATTTAATTCCCTAGAATTTAGTTTGCTACAATATTCTGTGAAATTCAGTAAAATATTGATATCATAATTATTTGTTGACTTATTTAATTTTCATTAAATAATCGTAAACAAATTTCATAGATCCTTTATAATGAAAGTATTTGTATCGACTTAGTCTCCACAAACTTTCATATTTATAATATTAATATTTGAAAAACAATATCGATGTGGAGGGATATAATAGGCAAGAGCTAGATAAATCTAATGTTCAGATAAATCGTGTCTTATCTCAGAGAAGGGTCAAGAGGCTGGAATCAACATGCATGTTTGAAAAGTGGATGAAGTATAAAATATACGTAAGGATAGAGATCTGGCATTCAGTTTCCCTACCTGACCCGAAATAGAGATAACATGATAATTAAGTACAGCGTAATTATGATTGAAATTCTTTCTTTTTCTTATACTTAAAAAATAAGTGCATAATAAAAATAAATATTTGTGAAATAGAAAAAAAAATATTAAAAAATAAAGCAAAAACACTTTTAGCAGCTTTTGAAACCCTTATCAACTTTCACAGACAGTAATATTAGCTTGGTATGCTTTTTGCTTTTTATATTCTTTTACTTTTTTCTAATGTATATTTTAAAACTTGACCATTTGTACAAAACTACATTTGTATATGGTAATGATAAAATAAATTGAACGTATGTTATTATTTTGAAAGCTGATTTACCAATAAAAAAATTATAAACATAATAATAAGCTAAAGTTTACTAAAGATTTCTTATACAATTTCAAGAAAAAAATAAGTTTTTTTTTTTCCTTAGAATTCCTTATAGGGAGATAAGTCACCCTATTACTTCCATGTGCCCTTTGAGACTAGTCGATGTTTTAAGGTCAATGTCAAAGCTATATGTTATTTAAAGTGACGTTATGGAACGAACTTTTTCCATTAATGTGATTAAATGTAAATATGATTAATGTAAATTACTACTTTAATATTTTTCATTACGTTGCACCGTCAATTACATTTTCTGTTATTCCTGTCTACGGTTGACTGATAGATAACATCATATGGTGTTAAGTCCGCCCTTTACATTTTCTAGGTGTATTAAAGTTTAATGAAAAGTAAATAAATTATGTACATCTTTATTTTACTGTAATTACTAACTCTATTTGCTATGCTTACATATATGTGGTAATCAAAATTACCTTAATGTGTAAAAATATAATTTAATTAGGTAATTGAAACTAAC